GAAAGAAATTAACTGGCCAACTAATATATAAAAATTAGCCGGCATGGTGACAACATGCCTGTGTCCCAGCCACTCGGAGGCTGAGGCAGGAGGATCACTTGAGCCCAGGAGTTGGAGGTCGCTGTGAGCGAGGCGACGCCACGGCACTCACTCTAGCCTGGCAACAAAGTGAGACTGTCTCAAAACAAAAAAAATACCGTGACACTGACTGGGGGAAAAACCCAGCTGTGTAGAAAAACGATCGGCCACATGTCGTCGTGGAAGCCCTGATAGGCCATGCAGCTCACTTCCTGTCTTCTCGACTTTGTGCTTGGAAAGTTCCAGAATGAGGCGTGTAGAAGCAGAAAGGTCAGAGGGTGAGCTCTGTTCCTTAACCCACAGTCTCGGCTCCGGCCCGACCTTCTGGGGAAAGCGCAGGAGGCGCGGCCACCGCGGGCTGTCCCGCGCTCGAGCCTGGCCGCTCCGTCCTCGGCGGACCCGTCCTATTGGAGCCTGGCCCGCTCCTCCGCTCGGCCGAACCCGCCTCCGGAGCCCTGGCCCGCTCCGTCCGCTCGGCCGGGACCCGCGCCTCCTGGAGCCTGACGCCGCTCTGTCCCGTCGCGTGACCCAGCGCCTCCTTGAGCCTGGCCCGTCTGTCCGCTCGACCGGACCGCGCTCCTGAGCCCGTGCCCTGGACGCGCTCCGGCCTGCCGCTCCGGTCGCGGGACCCGCGCCTCCTGAGCCCTGCCCGTTCCGTCCGCTCGCCGGACCGCGCCTCCTGGAGCCTGCCCGTCCGTCCGCTCGTCGGGACCGCGCCTTCTGGACCCTGGCCCGCTCCTGTCCGCCTGGTCGGACCGGAATGTGGCTTACTGCGCCTCTGGAGCCCTGGCCCGTCCGTCCCCGCGGGATCGCGCCTCTGGTAGCTGGCCCGTCCGTCCGCTCCGGCCCGGTGACAGGTTCGCGCCTCCTGGAGCCCTGGCCCGCTCCGTCGCTTCGGCGGGACCCCGCGCCTCCTGGAGCCCTGGCCGCTTCCGCCCCTATCGGCCGGGACCTATACGCCTCCTGGAGCCCCGCGCGGTGCGCTTTCAGAGGGCGGCGCGGAGAGAACCGGCGACCCGACGGAGAGCGCATTTCGTCCTGGGAAGCAAACGGAAGCCCGGAGGGCTGGCCGTGGCGTCCCGTCCCGCGCTGTTGGTCCGCGGGTGTCCCAGCCGTCTGCACCTGAGGGAACAGGCAAGGGCTCGAAACCGGGGGTCCCTCCGGAAAGCCCGAGGCTGCCGAGCCTCTCCTTTGGGAGGGGACGTTCCAGACGGCTGCCCTTAAGGCGTTAATCACCTCAGAGCCAGAAGAAAATGAAGATCAATAATAATCATTTAAAAGTCACGCCTGGGGGCGAGGAGGCGCGGATCCCGGAGAACGCCAGAGCCAGACAGCGACCTTATAGTCGTGTTTGCAACCGTTTCTCTCAAGCGTGAGCGTAAATGCCACGGCCAAGGCTACACAGCTAAGTGGGCCAGGACAATTGATTGGGCCCCGTCTGGAGCCCGGTAGTCGTCTCCCGGCTTGCCGAGGGCCGGCCGCAGCCGGGACTGGAGCCACAGCGCTGGGCGCGGCGGCCCTTTCCGACCTGGGCGGAGATCAAACGCCGAGCGTCCCGGCGGGTGCCTTCAGAGCGCGTGCGGCCGGAGTGCCCGTGTGCTCCGGGCGGGGGCGGGCACCGGCAAGGGCGACGCCCAGCGGCGGGCACCGGGAGACTCGCCCCTCCTGGAGCAGGGAGGGCGCCTCGGCGGAGCAGGGCGGAAGGCGGAGGAGCAGGGCGGGAAAGGCGGAGGAGCAAGGCGGGAAAGGCGAGGACAGGCGGGAAGGCGAGGAGCAGGCGGGGAAAGGCGGCAGGAACAGGGCGGGAAAGCCGGGGCGCCAGGCCGCGCAGCTCTTAGAACCCAGCCCGAGGCTTGGCTTCGCACGGCGGCCGTGGGGGCTGCGGAGAGATCAGGCCTCGGCCCAGCGGCCGCCGGCCGGACGCTCAGGGGAGAGGAGTTCGCGTGCGCCGCCGGCGGTGCTGTAGGAGGACGGACGCTCAGGGGAGAGGAGTTGCGTGCGGCGGGGCTGCGCGCGCCCGGCGGTCTGTCAGGACGGACGCTCAGAGGAGAGGAGTCGCGTGCGCCGCCTGAACGTCTCGGTGAGGACGGACGCTCAGGGGAAGGGAGTCGCGTGCTGGCGGGCTGCGCGCCGCCCGGCGGTCTGTAGGGAGGACGGACGCTCAGGGAAGGGAGTCCGCGGCGGCGGCCTGCGCCCGCCGCGGTCTGTAGGGAGGACGGACGCTCAGGGGAAGGGAGTCGCGTGCGGCGGGGCTGCGCGCCGCCCGGCGGTCTGTAGGGAGGACGGACGCTCAGGGAGAGGAGTCGCGTGCGCCGCCCCGGCGGCTCCTGTTTCGGGGAGACGGAATGCTCAGGGGAGAGAGTTCGCGGTGCGCGCCGGCGGTCTGTCGGGAGGACGCGCTCAGGGGAGAGGAGTCGCGTGCGCCGCCCGGCGGTCTGTCGGGAAGGCGGACGCTCAGGGGAGAGGAGTCGCGTGCGCCGCCCGGCGGTCTGTCAGGAGGGCGGACGCTCAGGGGAGAGGAGTCGCGTGCGCCGCCCGGCGGTCTGTCGGGAGGACGGACGCTCAGGGAGGAGTACTCGTGCGCGCCCGCGTCTGTCGGAAGGCGGACGCTCAGGGAGAGGAGTCCCGTGCGCCGCCACGGACGTTGTCGGGAAGGCGACGCCAGGGAGAGGAGTCTCGTGCGCCGCCCGGCGGTCTGTCGGGAAGGCGGACGCTCAGGGGAGAGGAGTCGCGTGCGCCGCCCGGCGGTCTGTCAGGAGGCGGACGCTCAGGGGAGAGGAGTCGCGTGCGGCAGGACTGTGCGCCGCCCGGCGGTCTGTCAGGAGAACGGTCGCTCAGGGGAGAGGAGTCGCGTGCGGGGGAGGACAGTCGCCAGAGGCAGCAGGGCCGGAAACAAGGCGTCCCCCGAGCGCGCGCTCCAGCAGTGAGGCGCCCTTTTGTTCCTTCTCTGAGTCGCGTGCTCCCTCGGTCGTGGTCGCGGCTGGGTAGGGTTGAGGCCTCAGGAGCAGTCGTGCTCCCGCTGGAGCCGGGCAGCGCCCGCCCGCCCGCCCCGGCCTCAGCCGGACGCTCGGCGAGAGCCAGCTCTGCCGCGGGAAGCGGGGCGCGCCCAGGGCCGTGCTCCGGAAGGGAGGAGGTGCACGTGGCCGCCAGCCTTCGGCGGTGGCTGTCACAGCCAGGCCTGGGCCCGGCGCTGCCATGAGAGGCGCACGGTCTTGGCAGAGCTTCGAGGCGTCGTGGGGAGACACGTCCAGACACAGGGGGATGGGGGCGTGGGGCCGGAGAGGGCAGGGGCGTGGGGTGCCGGCGGCACGTGCCGTGGGATGGGGGCGTGGGGGTGCGGGGGGCAGGGGGCCGTGGGGCAGGCCAGGGGGCGTGGGCAGGGGGCTGGGGCGGGAGGCAGGGGGCGTGGGGGGGCCAGGGGCGTGGGCCCGGGAGGCAGGGGCTCTGGGGGCGGGGGCAGCGCGTGTGGGGAGATGGGGTGCGTGGGCCGTGGCAGCGTGCGGGGGATGGAAAGGGTGGGGGAGGGGTGGGACGTAGAGAACTCTGTTGAGCGGGGCGGTGCGGCGTGTCGGGCGGCTGGTAGCAGTTGGGCCGCGGCGAGCGTGCGGGGCGAAGTGGGTGGTGGGGCCCGTAGGGCGGGCCCTGGCTGGTGAGCCGGGCGGCGCGTGCGGGGTGGCGTGCGGGCCTGCCTGGCTCTCACCCGCTCAGCTGCGTCCCGACCAAGGCTGGGGCGGAGGCGGCCTGAGCAGAGGCAGGGATGCTAGAACTGCGAAGGACGCCGGGAGGGCTGGTGGGTTCTGGAAATTTCCGGGCGGTAAACTCGGGCGGACACGGGGACCGCGTGCGGAGGGTGCGGCGGGGGTCCTGGTTATACAGAGGCTGCCGCTGACTGGGGGACAACGAGGGCAGGCATTGCCGGCGGTGGACAGGCCGGGTTAGCGTGCCCGTGGCGGCGCAGGGAGCGGCGCCTGACCACCGACTGAGGCGCCCGCCGAGGGGCGGCGAGCGGGGTGGGCGGCGTCCCGCCAGCCGCCTGTCTCCCCGTCTCCCGCACCGCGCCCCCGTCTCTTCAGGCCGGGCCTGCACGTCGGCCATTTGCCTCGGAGGACGCCAGGCTGTCTGGGGAAGGGCCCGCCACCGTCCCTGAGCGGAGCGCGGCTCTCGCACCGAGAGAAGCGGTCTCGGTGATCGTCCGCCGGCGTCCACGCGGCCCGGCCCGGCTCGCACACGCGAGTCACTGACCCCTCCCGGCCGCGTACAGCTCGGCTTTTTTTTAATATAAACAGTTTTGTCTGTGAACCACTGTCCTCTAAAGATAGCGGTGAGGGACTTCGCTGCATCGCTTGGTTCTGTGGACGCCGAGCAGCGTCCCCGTCGGCAGCCGTTTCCGTTAGGGCACACGCTGAGATGCAGCGCCGCCCGCAGCTTCGGCTCCCATGCCGGTTCCGGCCCCGGCCCCGGCCCCGGTTCCAGCCCCGCACTGCCCGTCCGCGCCCTCGGCCCGCGTGGCCCGGCATGCCGTCTGCGCATGTGCACGCTCAAGCCCGTGGTTGGCTGCTCTTCGTTTCACGAATGCACCGTGCTCCTCCGCCTGTTTCACAGCCGTGGGGTCAGTGTCTGTTCCCGCACTAGGGGAGACGTCTGTGAAATTCCGTTTCCACTGCCAGTTGTCAGTGATTCTCAGAGCTCAGCAGAGCAGTTTTGGAGAGCATTGTGGTCATTTTACTCAGAAATGCATTTCTAATATCCGTAAAACTGTGCCCTATTTTTGGTAGCCGTTGAGATTTAATCTTCCCTTTTACTCGTTGCGTTTACTTTTTACCGCGGACACGCTGGCTGCTAGCTCAGCAGCGTTCATAGCTAGAGCACGTGCTGCTAAACAGTTCCTCTTTGTAACGGGCTGATCCGTTCTGTTTGCGCAGGGATTTTGCTTATGTGGCAAGAGACAAAGACACGAGAATTTTGAAATGTCATGTATTTCGATGTGACACACCAGCCAAAGCCATCGCCACGAGCCTCCACGAAATCTGTTCCAAGGTAAGGCGGGTCAGGGCGCGCGGGCACCCTCTCTCCTGGCCGCGCGAGGTGGAGACATGGAGGACAGGAGGAGCCCCTCGCGGGCGCAGGGAGGGCAGGTGGGCACCCTCTCTCCTGGCCTCGGGAGGTGGAGACGTGGAGGACAAGAGGGCGCGCAGCGAGCCACTCGCGGGCGCAGGGGGAGCAGGCGAGCACCCTCTCTCCTGGCCGCGCGAGGTGGAGACATGGAGGACAGGAGGGCGGCGCAGCGAGCTGCTCGCGGGCGCAGGGAGGGCGCGCGGGCACCCTCTCTCCTGGCCGCGCGAGGTGGAGACGTGGAGGACAGGAGGAGCCCCTCTCGGGCGCAGGGAGGACAGACGGGCACCCTGTCTCCTGGCCGCGCCAGATAGAGGACAGGAGGGCGGCGCAGCGAGCTGCTCGCGGGCGCAGGGAGGGCAGGCGGGCACCCTCTCTCCTGGCCGCGCGAGGTGGAGACATGGAGGACAGGAGGGCGGCGCAGCGAGCTGCTCGCGGGCGCAAGGAGGACGGGCGGGCACCCTCTCTCCTGGCTGCGCGAGGTGGAGACGTGGAGGACAGGAGGCCGGCGCAGCGAGCTGCTCGCGGGCGCAGGGAGGGCAGGCGGGCTCAGGGCGTCCCTGAAGTGCCCGTGCCGCGCGGGCCAGGTGGCGCTGAGCAGCGTCTGTGGCAATGCGAGGCGGCGCGCACCCTGCCCGTCTGGGGCACGGACGCGGTCACCGGTGGGCAGCGCGCCGGCAGGTGAGCTCGTGGAGAACCGGGAAAGCAGTCAGCACGCGCTTTCCAGGAGTGGCCGGTCTGGCGGAGCGCCGTCCAGGAATGGGGGTGGCAGGAGGCCATCTGGGGTGCTGGAGACGCAGGCCGCCGGTCGCGCGCACGAGAGGACACGCGGCAGCTCGCGGCGCCTCCCTGCGGCCGAGAGGCTGGGCTGCGGCCGCTGCCTCGTGCTGGCGAGGGTCCCGCTTCCTGAGCAGGGTCGCAGGTCAGAGCGCGATCAGAAGGCCCAGCGCCTGCGCCCCGCACGCTGACATCTCCGTCCGACGGGCGCGCCCACCGCCGCTGCGTTACCGGGCGCTCTTGTGTCAGGGTTCTTCCTCGTGTTGGTCCGGAACCTTCCTCCATGGCACCCACAGGTCCCTGCTGGGATGTGAGACACGCCGTGCCAGAGAGCTTCTCCCGTTTCCCCTTGCGGGCCAGCCCTTCGCAGCCTGCCTCCCTCCCGCACCCTGCTGGGCTGGCCAGACCGACGAGCCCCACTGCCGCTCCGACCCCCGGCAGGGACAGCGGCGTGGGTACCGGTCTCGGGGTCGCCAGGGTGGCTCTTGCCAGACAGGGGACGGGGCGTGGCTGTGCCATCTGCAGCGTGGGCTGTACACACGGGGTCTGTCCTTCTCACACATGCAGCAAGTACAACTGAGTCCCGTGTGTGCCAGACACACGCCAGGTTCTGTCCTTCTCACACATGCACCAAGCACAACTGAGTCCCATGTGTGCCGGACACACGCCAGGTTCCCTCCTCCTCACACACGCAGCAAATACAACTGAGTCCTGTGTGTGCGGGACACACGCCAGGTTCCGTCCTTCTCACACATGCAGCAAGCACAACTGAGTCCCATGTGTGCCAGACACACGCCAGGTTCCCTCCTCACACACGCAGCAAATACAACTGAGTCCCGTGTGTGCCAGACACACGCCAGGTTCCCTCCTCCTCACACACGCAGCAAGTAAAACTGAGTCCCATGTGTGCCAGACACAGGCCAGGTTCCCTCCTCCTCACACACGCAGCAAGTACAACTGAGTCCCGTGTGTGCCGGACACACGCCAGGTTCCGTCCTTCTCACACACACAGCAAGTACAACTGTGTCCCGTGTGTGCCAGACACACGCCAGGTTCCCTCCTCCTCACACACGCAGCAAGTAAAACTGAGTCCCATGTGTGCCAGATACAGGCCAGGTTCCCTCCTCCTCACACACGCAGCAAGTACAACTGAGTCCCGTGTGTGCCGGACACACGCCAGGTTCCGTCCTTCTCACACACGCAGCAAGTACAACTGTGTCCCGTGTGTGCCAGACACACTCCAGGTTCCCTCCTCCTCACACACGCAGCAAGTACAACTGAGTCCCATGTGTGCCGGAGACACGCCAGGTTCTGTCCTTCTCACACACAGCAAATACAACTGAGTCCCGTGTGTGCCAGACACAGGCCAGGTTCCGTCCTTCTCACACATGCAGCAAATATACAACTGAGTCCCGTGTGTGCCAGACACAGGCCAGGTTCTGTCCTTCTCACACGCAGCAAATACAACTGAGTCCCATGTGTGCCAGACACACGCCAGGTCTGGGGCGGAAATGGCTTTGGTTCCACCTGGAATGGGGAACGCTTAGCGTGGGAATAAATGTTCGAGCTCCCTTTGGGGTCACTACCGGGTGAGCTGCTTCCAGTCCCCCAGCCCGCGGCGTCCCGTCGCTGGCCGGGAACAGGAGCGGGGAGTGGTGGCTCCTGAGTAGAGCAGACGTCGGCGTCCCCGGCAGACAAGAGCCAGTTTGGAGCAGTTTGAGAATAACCACGGCGGCGGCAGCAGGCGTTTCTGAGCGCCTGGGCCTGCTGAGCGCGTGGCCTGCACTCGCCACCCCAGCTCCGACCTCTGACGGGGACGCTGCCGTCACCCGCGCGGTCTGAGCGCGTGGCGTGTGCTCGCCACCCCAGCTCCGCCCTCTGATGGGGACGCTGCCGTCACCCCCGCGGTCTGAGCGCGTGGCCTGCACTCGCCACCCCAGCTCCGTCCTCTGATGGGGACGCTGCCGTCACCCTGCGGTCTGACCGCGTGGCGTGTGCTAGCCACCCCAGCTCCGCCCTCTGATGGGGACGCTGCCGTCACCCGCGCGGTCTGAGCGCGTGGCGTGTGCTCGCCACCCCAGCTCCGCCCTCTGACGGGGACGCTGCCGTCACCCCCGCGGTCTGAGCGCGTGGCCTTCACTCGCCACCCCAGCTCCGTCCTCTGAAGTAGACGTTGCCGTCACCCCGCGGTCTGACCGCGTGGCGTGCGCTCGCCACCCCAGCTCCGCCCTCTGAGGGGGACGCTGCCGTCACTCCGCGTGGTCTGGCGCGTGGCGTGCGCTCGCCACCCCAGCTCCGCCCTCTGACAGGGACGCTGCCGTCACCCCGCGCGGTCTGGCGCGTGGCGTGCGCTCGCCACCCCAGCTCCGCCCTCTGGGGGGGACGCTGTCGTCACTCCACGTGGTCTGGCGCGTGGCGTGCGCTCGCCACCCCAGCTCGGCCCTCTGACGGGGACGCTGTCGTCACTCCATGTGGTCTGGCGCGTGGCGTGCGCTCGCCACCCCAGCTCCGCCCTCTGACTTGGACGCTGCCGTCACTCCGCGGTCCCATGCTTGCCGGGACACGGCTGGGAGTGGCCGGGGCGACCCGACCCGCGTGCTCTGTCCCCAAGCCCGACAGGGTCTGGGCCCTCGCGGGACACGGCTGGGAGTGGCCGGGGCGACCCGACCCGCGTGCTCTGTCCCCAAGCCCGACAGGGTCTGGGCCCTGGTGGGCCACCCCATGCCCCGACGGGAAGGCCCGGGCACCCAGGGCCACTGGGGCGCCGCTGCGCTGCCCCTCTGGCCCCACCGGCCGGCACGCCAGGCCAGCGGGTGGCCGAGGGCTGTGCGTGGGGCTGTCTGCCGCATGGCGGGACCTGGCGTGGAACAGGTGCACTCCAGCCCACCAGGAGACGCTCTGAGGAGTCGCCGTCCTCCCTGTCCCGGGAAAACGAGCCCGACACACCGGGCGGCAGCTCGAGCACTGGGTGAAGTCGGCTCAGACACTTTCTGGGCTGGGATGGCGGAGACGGCAAGGCCCGTGACACGAACCAGCGCCCTTTCCTCCCTCTAGATTATGGCCGAGCGGAAGAACGCCAAAGCCCTGGCCTGCAGCTCCTTGCAGGAGAGGACCGGCGCGGCCCTGGACGTCCCGCTGCAAGGTAGTGCGGGCCCTCCCCGTCGCGCCTCCGTCCTTCCCAACAGCCAGGGGTCTCAGGTGGCCCCTGGTGTCTCGGGTCGCCTTACAAAGGTGTGCTCCACTCAGCCGATGGGTCTCGAGCTGCACTGCGGGCCCTGCAGCGGCGCAGGGTTGAGTTTCTCTCGCCAGGGTTAGGCTCGAAGGGCCGGGAGGAGCTCCCTTGCTGCTGGATGGGATTGTAGAGTATTGGCTTTGGTGGTTTCACAGTTCACATGCAGCCCAGGGTAAGGGCTGGCTAGGTTAAAAATATGTGGGCTGATTCTTTTTGGAGACTCTTTAGTTATTTTTCCTGAGTCTCTGATTGTACCCTTTGTGATTACATTGTCTCTGGGCATCAGCAGACCTAATAAACAATACATCAAAAGCTGCTCCTTAGCTGGGCGCGGTGCCTCACATCTATAATCCTAGCACTCTGGGAGGCCCAGGCGGGCGGAACGCTCCAGGTCAGGAGTTTGAAACCAGCCTGAGCAAGACCCCGTCTCTACTAAAAAAAATAGAAAGAAATTAATTGACCAACTAAAAATATATATAGACAAAATTAGCTGGGCGTGGTGGCGCATGCCTATAGTCCCAGCTACTCGGGAGGCTGAGGCAGGAGGATCACTTGAGCCCAGGAGTTGGAGGTTGCTGTGAGCGAGGCTGACGCCACGGCACTCACTCTAGCCTGGGCAACAGAGTGAGACTCTGTCTCAAAAAAAAGAAAAACAAACTGCTCCTCAGCACACATAAAGAGACAGTGGCAGCTTTGGCAGGTAGCTGTCACTTCCTGCCATGGGCTGACAGTGGGACGGGGTTTTGGCTGACAGTGCCCACTGCCTGCAGTGAGGGATGCTGTTCTCATGCGAGTCGCCACGGTGACACCCAGAAACAGGACACTGTGGCACAGGTGGGATGGGAGCGTTCCAGACGGGACAGAGTGACGGCTGTTTTACGTGTGTTGGAACCGCTGAGAAAGGTGTGTTGCTCTTGTTCCCTGTAGTAGACTTTCCAACACCAAAGACGGAGCTGGTCCAGAAGTTCCACGTGCAGTACCTGGGCATGCTGCCTGTGGACAAGCCGGTCGGTACGTGGGACACTCCTGTCTGTCCGCTTTGCGCGTGTTTGGGAGCTCGTGGGAGGCGTCTGCCCTCTGACGGGGTGAGGGCTGCTGCTCTACTCTTGCCTTGTCTTGAGTCACATCCTCGCTCTGTCACCAGCCAGAGGATGTGAAAGTCCCCTTCAAAGTGAGAGGACAGGCTGAGCCGCCTCAACACGTGGTCCCCAGAACACAGGGCCCTAACAAGCAGGCTGTCTTTCTCATTCCTACAGTGCAGAGACGTCCACCCGGGGCGGGGCAGGGCTCTGCGTTCTCCAGCCCGGCCTCCCTCCCTGGGGCCAGGACACCGTTTCTCTCCTTGTCACCGGGTGGGCTGGGAGCAGGGGCGGAGGGACCTCAGGCTTTCCCTTCATGGGACCAGCCGTGGCACACACAGACTCCAGCTCACATCCCAGCAGCAGAAGCACATCGCTGGGCTGTGAAAGGAGGCTGGGCCCGGGAAGGGCCTCCTGCACAGCCGGCGGGAGGGTGAGACCGTGCACCTGCCTCTCGAAACCACCGGCAGCTCTTCGGGAGGTGGAACTAGCCCCCTCTGAGCGGCAGTCCCACCTGCAGGCGCGTGCCTGAGAGAAATGAAAACATCTGTGCACACAGAACTCGTGCACAGATGTACACAGCAGCAGCCTTCCCGATAGTCCAAAAGTGGAAATAACCCAGTGCCCATCAGCTGACAGTTGGATAAATAAAGCGCAATGGTTCCATATAATGGAATTTTATTTGGCAATAAAAGGGAATAAAGTACTGGAACATGCTACAGCATAGATGAGCCTCGAAAACATTGTGCTAAGTGAAAGAAGTCAGTCCCAAGAGACCATAGACTATGAATCCATTCATACGAGGTGTCCAGAACAGGCACATCTCCAGAGACAGAAAGCAGGAAGTGGCTGCCTGGGGCTGGGGAGCTTGGGAGAAATGGAAGGCAACTCCCGCCAGGCACAGGGTTTCTTTGCAGGGTGATAAAAATGTCCCGAAATTGATTAAGGTGATGGTTGCACTCTGGGAATATACTGAAAACCACTGGGCTGTGCGGTTTACATGCTTGAATTATATGCAAATGGTATTCAAACGAGGCGTTAGCCCACCCCCAACCCCGGGAAACCGTGTGGGGCTCACGCCCTGCCATGGCTCCTCCCTGTCTCCCCGGAGCCCGGCAGGGCTGGGACAGGCAGGCAGAGGCCAGAGGGCGCGGCCTGCTCCGACAGCAGGGCCCACACCGGCCCTGGAGGCTCTCGGGGACCTCTGTTTCTGTTGGAAAAGCTGGTGTTTCTTTTCTTTTGGACAAACATGAGAATGAAGTTTCTTGTCTCCTGGGGCTCCAAAAAAAAGGCCAGTCTGGGTGTAGCTGTGACGGGGTGACGGGGCCTGCACTTGAGGGAGATGGACGGTGTTAGGGTGTTTTCAGTCATGCTTTCGGTCCGCAGGAATGGACACCCTGAACAGCGCCATAGAAAGCCTCATGACGGCGTCCGACAGGGAGCACTGGCCGTCAGTGGACATGAACGTGGCGGACGCGACTGTGACCGTCATCGGCGAGAAGGTGAGAAGGGCCGAGGGCAGCGTCTGGGCCGCGGCGGATGCGCAGCCTGCTGTGCGCCGGGAACGCCGCCACGGCTGGCCCTGGCACCTGCCCTGCTGTGGTCGCAGTGGCCACTGCCCTGGCAGAAGGGCTGCCCTTGGGGTGTGGTCCGTGTGTGCGCCTGCTCTCCTGGACTGGGCGCCCACCTGGCGCTTCCGCGCTGCCTTCCTCGCGTGCCCAGAGACCGGGCCCTTTGCTGGAGCTGGCCGTGTGGGCCGGCGTGGCTCCCTAGGCGGTGGGTTTCCTGGCCGGCCCCTCTCCGGGCGCCAGCATCCTCCGGGCCGTGTGGTCCGGCACAGCCGGCGCTCAGGGCAAGTGCCGGGTCTGCCTGCCAGCAGCCGGGTGCGCGGAGCGAGAGGGACCTGCCAGGCTGAGACTCCAGGGCAGCGACAGCCCCCCCCCCATATTTGGGAAAAGTTGCGCCTTTCCACAAAGCACAGGCCCTGTAAGAATCCAGTCTGGCCGCCTGTTTTTAGTCCCAGTTCCTAATGCCGCTGCTGCAAACGCGATTCCCTGGTTGTCTAAGGTCTGGAAACGCTGTGAGGGTTCTGGCAGGTGCTGACCGCCGTCTCTTGCAGAAAGAAGAGGAGGTCTTGGTGGAGTGCCGCGTGCGGTTCCTGTCCTTCATGGGTGTCGGGAAGGACGTGCACACGTTCGCCTTCATCATGGACACCGGGAGCCAGCGCTTCGAGTGCCACGTGTTCTGGTGCGAGCCCAACGCCGGCAACGTGTCCGAGGCGGTGCAGGCCGCCTGCATGGTGAGTGGCCCGGAGATCCGCCGCGCTCCCCCGTCTGCTCCTGGTTAGCGCTCTGCTCCTCCTTAGCACGCAGCAGGGCGAGCCGCGCGCTCCCGCCTCTGCTCCTGGTTAGCGCGCAGCAGGGCGAGCCGCGCGCTCCCTCCTCTGCTCCTGGTTAGCGCACAGCAGGGCGAGCCCAGCGCTCCCGCCTGTGCTCCTGGTTAGCGCACAGCAGGGCGAGCCAAGCGCTCCCGCCTCTGCTCCTCCTTAGCGCGCAGCAGGGCGAGCCACGCGCTCCCGCCTCTGCTCCTGGTTAGCGCACAGCAGGGCGAGCCCAGCGCTCCCGCCCCTCTCTTCGTTGGCGCTCTGCTCCTCCTTAGCACGCAGCAGGCTAGCCAAGCGCTCCCGCCTCTGCTCCTCATTAGCGCGCCCTAGAGCGAGCCGCGCGCTCCCGCCTCTGCCCCTCCTTAGCATGCAGCAGGGCGAGCCAAGCGCTCCTGCTCCTGGTTGGCACTCTGCTCCTCCTTAGCGCTCCCGCCTGTGCTCCTGGTTAGCGCGCCGCAGGTCAGAGCAGAATCGCCCGTGTAGATGAAAATGTGGTTTGCAGAGCAGTGCTTTCCTCTGTACCCCTTGTTCCGTGGGCAGACTCAGCTGCGATGAGCAGATCCATCTCGCGTGGCCGGGCCCTGAGGGTGGCAGGCTGGACAGAGGCCCCAGTCACGGGGGAGGATGATCTTCAAAACCATGTCCCAAAATAATGTCAGTGCATGATGAACTCACTCATGCATGAGTTGGTGCTGTTTGGATTCAAGTTAGTGCTTTAAAAATGAAGAGAAATATATTGAAGTCTTTATTTCAAACAGTTGTTTTATCTATTTATTTTTTGAGGCTGAGTCTCACTCTGTTGCTGGGCTAGAGTGCCGTGGCGTCAGCCTAGCTCACAGCAACCTCAAATTCCTGGGCTCAAGCAATCCTCTTGCCTCAGCCTCCCCAGTAGCTGGGACTACAGGCATGCACCACCACGCCCGGCTCATTTTTTCTCTATATATTTTTAGTTGGCTGATTAATTTCTTTCTATTTTTAGTAGAGACAGGGTCTCGCTCTTGCTCAGGCTGGTCTCGAACTCCTGACCTTGAGCAATCTGCCCACCTCGGCCTCCCAGAGTGCTAGGAATACAGTCGTGAGCTATCACGCCCAGCCTCAAATAGTTGCTTTAAATGAATTGTTCTTATATACTTTTTATATCTATCAACTCAGTCCTTACAACAACTATGTCAGGTTGTTGTTAGTTCTGTTTCACTTATGAGAACACAGAGACTCAGAGAATGGGCACAGCCCGGGTCCAGCCCCAGGTCCGCGGGTGACAGAGCCAGGACGCTGCCGCCACGCGTGTGATCTGAGACAAAGGAGCCGACCTCGTGGCCCACTCGGCCTGTGTCCTGTAGCACCTGCGGTGCCGGCACTGAAAGGCTCTAGCACAGACGATCCGCGTGAGTGGCGGCCCCAGGCCCTAGTGGCGGCAGAGCCCAGCAGCCCAGATACGCGGGGAGACGCTAAACCACAGTTATCGCAGGGCGTGGGAGGTGCCGTAAGTGAAAGTGAGAGACGGCGGGATTGAGAAGGATCCGGCAGGAAGGAGTGGAGGGTCTGAAAGTGCACAGCTCGCAAGGTGTGGCAGTGAGAAGGGCAACACTGGGGGGTTGGTTGGTTTCAGGACCAAGGAGACCTGCACATTGTTGTTGGTTTTATTAGAGACGGGGTCTCACTATGTTGCCCAGGCTGGACTCCAACTCCCGGGCTCAAGCGATCTTTGCAACCACACCAAGCTACTTTTTGTCTTTCTTTCTTTTTTTTTTTTTTTTTGACCTGCACGTTTTGCAGCTGAGGGAACAAGCCCATGAGGTTGGTGCGGTGGGGCTGCTCAGGCGGCGCAGGGGGGAGGTCGAGGGGAGGCCACGCCGGCCCTTGGGTGGAGGTCAGAGAGCCCTTCCCCTGACACAGGCCGCAGGGTGGCGGAGCTCAGGGAAGGGAAGCTGGAGGGGTTCTGTCCCCACCCCTGCCACGCACAGTGCATTGCCAGGTAAAGGGGCGGGGGGGGGGGGAGCAAAAGGCAAAGGTGAGGAACAGGAAAAGAGCCAGCTGACCTTTCCTCTTTGAATGGAGCAGGAAGGAGGAAGACAGGCAAGGGGAGACCCGGCCTGGACACCTGCTGTCTGGACCCGGCCCCCACAGTCCTCTGCTCCGAGTCTAACTTCCCCTCCGGTCTGGCGGGCCAGGCTGCTGACTTGGAGCACCGGCAGGAGGGCCAGGGCTGGGCCAGGGCTGGGCGGAGGGCAGCCCAGGTGAGCAGACTGGCCGGGTGTAGGGAGTCCAGATGGGAGGAAGGGGGTGAAGAAAATAGAAAATGGGAGATTTCAGTCAGGCAAAAGTGGATGACAACTCTTTAGGTATTTCATGAAATTGAAACGGATCGTAACAGATGGTTTTAGTCATAAAACGAATGGCTTTTGGCCTTAATTATACATTTTAAATGACAATGAAAAATAATTAGCTTTATCACTTGGTTACAGTTTGTTCTCTGATTCTCAGACTCATTTTCCCTCTTGGAAAAAACTTTCACTCATTGCTTCTTGTTTTCATCGCATCAGTGCAGCCAGCTGAACCAGTGCAGATGAGCACCGATAAAATCAAGCAGCTTACTCCCACTCCCTCCAAATCCAGCTTTCTGACTCAGCGGCTTCTCGATTCAAATCTGCCTGGTTCTCCATCTGAAATGTCTGTGAATTTATACCATCCGAAACACCTGTGGCATTAACACATTCTTTTGAATCTACTTAACTTTTAGGTATATTTTACAGCTAATATAAACAGCATTAATTTTAAAAAGATATATTATTTTAAAAGGTATATATTAGCTGGATCTTTTCCGGCTGATATATACCTCTACCTGTGGTACAGGCCCAGCTGAAGCATTTTGGTGACATTTAGGACAGGACAGAGAGGGATCCTTTATGAAATTCCTCAGGTGCAGTTGTGAGTCACACTGGATCTACATCACCACTCTGTGAACTTCCAGGTCCAGTGGCCCGTGTCGCCAGCCCCGCCCATGTATGAGCCCATGCTTTAGACGTGTGTGGTTTCGGTTGTAACACAGACCTAGCAAGATGCCTTTCACACAGGAGACATGTAATGTCGTCGTTTTCATATGACTGAGTTGAAAGGGACTACTTTTGTGGCCTACGGGGTATGATAGAAGTGATACATGCTTCCCCTAGATGTCTTGCTGTAGATATTTGATGCTTCTTAGGGAGATATCAGCCTGTTCCATTACTGGACTAAGGAACCTATTATTAACTAAGTTGATTTTTAAAAATCAGCCGTGGTAGTACAGTCCTCCCTCGGTATGTACAGGGGATTGTTTTCAGGACCCCTTTGTATACCAAAATCCATGCACACTCAGGTCCTACAGTTGGCCCTGCATGTGAAAAGTTGGCTCTCCATATACTCAGATTTCGAATCCCATGAATACTGTATTTTCAATTTGAGTTTGGTTGGCAAATGTCTGCGTATACGCAGATGGACCCCGTGCAATTCAAAGCCGTGTTGTTCAAGGGTCAACTGTATTTTAAAGTGCTTGGATTGAATAAAAGCATTTTATAAATTTTAACTTTGTATCTAATTTTAAAGAATTACTTGTGTTTTCACTAATACAAAAGCAAATGAACAACGTTGTTATATTTCTGAAGGATAGAAAATTGTCCATGGTGCCAATACTAATGGATTTCTCTTTAATCCATTAGGACTTAGACTTATCTATAAAAATGTATCCTTTAATCTTAATGTATCCTCCTTTTTTACTGAAGCAGGAAATAGGGAAGGGAGCAAACATTTATGGACGCCTCTGCATTGCTGGGTCTATTTTAGGCATCTCACATTTTCCTTGCTTAATCGTAACACCCTCTGTAACAGTCTCCATTCTTCAGCCATTCTATAGTTGAAGTTCAAGCTCAGAGAGATTTAGTCACTTGCGCTGGGATTCAGAGTGGCAGAGCTTAGACTCAGTCTGCGCCCTTTCTACCACGCTGTCTCTCGGTGAAAAGACGTGCATCTCTGACGAGAAACCTACGCCCTCCCCCGTCCTCTTTGGTGTCACTGGCTCCTTACTGGTGCGTGAGGTGCACTAATTGTAGCTATCAACACAGGGAACAAGCAGAGGGTGGAAATGGATGGCAGGAAAGGGTGGCAGATGTCAAAGCACCTTTGTCGGGCCTGATGATCCCTTGGGAGAATTTAAAACAATCACACTAAGAAAACAATTAACTCCTGGATTTATGTTCAGGAACTGGATTAACTTTGAGGAATCAACGTATTGGTGATGACTTAAAAGTCATGTTAAAGAAGAAGAAATAATACATTATTACTGACTTTAAGACGTTCTGCTTTATTTCAGTTACGGTACCAGAAGTGCTTGGTAGCCAGGCCTCCTTCGCAGAAAGTCCGGCCACCTCCACCACCAGCAGACTCAGTGACCAGAAGAGTCACAACCAATGTAAAGCGAGGGGTCTTATCCCTCATTGACACTTTGAAACAGAAACGCCCCCTCACAGAAGCACCGTAGCCGCACGTGGGGAAGGACTCTGGCAGTTACCTGGAGACTCTAAGGCTACACTACAGAAAACGAGCTGGTGTCTGACCTTCCGTTGTTGCTGATGCTTTGTCTTCAGAGAAATTTATCCGTAACCAGACAGTGTTAGACAAGCATGTTCTCGTCTTGCCACCATCATGTGATACGAAAAGAAGCATGAGTAATTTTTTTTGCTGTAAGTTACACCATGAGCAGTGGAAGGTCTTTTTCTTGTAAATATTGCGAACATCACTTAACTTCACACACACAGGGAAGAATGTGGCCACATCCCTCCTAGGGAACTGCCACTGCATCCTGGGAGTGAGCGATGCCTGAGTTAGTGTCACTGTCGTCTTTACTGCATCTGTCACGGGCAACCTTTAGGTTCTACAGCACTTTGCCCTGTTTTCAACATTGGAATAGACACTGCGTAGCAGATACCATTGAACTGCTATTAAAATAGGATGGCGAGTTTTTGTTTCAGTTTTTCATAAAATTGAACATGTTGTCTGTTGGCATCAGTATAGAAACCAACTGGCAGCATTCCTTGACGAGCTCTCTGACACATGGAACCATTTCATGTCTACAGCTGTTTGTGGGATATTGGAAAAAAATGAAACTTTAAAATTGATGAAAACTAAATTTCAGGAATTAAAATTGAACAAAAACTAGCCTTTCTTTTTAGATGGTTTTCAGACTCATTATTTTAAAAAAGGAGATTAACAATATCATAATGCATTTTGGGTAGGACTTATTTCAAACTTCTGCCTTATATTGTACAGTACAGCTAGAGAATTATAGTTCACTATGGCCATTCTCTATATAAACATTAAAATGGAATATTACTCATAAACCTTTCATCCTTAGTTTGATAATTAGCCAATATGCAATTTGAAGTTAAGAAAATGTCATTTATATTTCTGTCATACACGATTATTTTAGATCTTTATCACCATGTTATTTTTATTAGTTTACATGCTAGAAAAAAACATTCTGCTAGAATCCTGCATCTAGCTCGATCTTACTCCAGTGCTTTTTGCCCAGAAAGCTGTCTGTCCAATCATGTATTGTCCATGGCAACAAATTGCATTAAGTTGAACCTGTCTTGAATTTATGTATTTAATGTTAGAATTTGTTGGACTTAACTATATAAATTTTAAAATTTATATCTTTTCCATTTTACTTTAAAGACTTAAAGATTTCATATCAGAGCAAAATATACATAGGGATAATGGACTATTGAACAAGTATCCCAAAAATAGCATTTTCCTGCATTTTATGTAAATGAAAAACTGTGAAGACATACAAATTTAGACTCTTGATGATGATGTTTTAAAAGGAAGTAAGGAGATTAACTTAATATTAGTCTTTATTTTTAATGTCAAAATTAACATTTACAACATCCAATTATAAAAGCAACACTTTGTTTATACTCTGCTATGGACTTGTCAGAATGGTTTCCACGTTTTTATCACATTTGAGCCTTATCAGGTAGAGAAGGAACAAACACTTGGGAAATAAAAACAGAGAGTACCAAGAGGCTAACTCAGCCGGCCTAAGATCTCACCAAAGTTAACGGGAGAACCGGCCTAGGGCCATGTCTCCCAGCCCCCGGCTCTGACTCTGCCGATGATGCCGCACGGCTGTCAGGAAGAGCCTTTCCAGAATGACTCTGGGCATAGCAGAGAACAGCAGGCAGGGAAACACTGCCGGGCAGTCTTAGAATCCCCTAGATAAGTGGGGGAACTATGTCCAAATTACTTATGCAGTGGCATTAACAATTAAACCATTGCCCTCTCTCCGTCCAGGACTGTTTTCCTGCAGTGTGCCTCGATTGTATTGTAGAGGACAAGATTCTGCATTCAGTGGTAGATAGCCCGTTCAGTCTATGAGATTTTTCCAGAGATGACATTACCCAGAGATATTCGTAACTCGTGGTGCTTAGCACTGTAGACCATGACGGAAAGAGTGGGCGGCCTTCTACCTGCCATTCCGTCTCAGAGCTCAGGGGGGTGGGCTGAAATCATTTGCTGCTTTAGAAATGCATTATACGTTTTACCAGTTGATATACTATTCTATCTGAAGTAACCAAGTGCCCATCATAATAAATTGTGGCATTATGAAAATCCTTACTATGCCCTTTGAAAAGCTGTTCAAAATTCAGTTACGATGATTGTTCATTTGATCTCTACAGTTAAGCATCTTAGTGTGATAAACTTCAAAATTCTAAACAAGCAGTCCACTTTTATATTGGAAATCTCTACCAGAACCCACTGTTCATTTTTTAAGGCATATGTTTGTTTGTTTTCAGGATCAAGAATCCTGAGCTAGCTTTAAGTAGCAAACTGATTTATATATGCAATTATAGGATGCATTAAGATGAATGATAGCCTTTACATATTGAAAACTTTACTGCAGATACTTTGTTTTGAAAATGGCTTTGCATACTAAATGCAAACTGATTTTGTAAAGTTAATTATGTTAAACAGTATGTTCAGACACTTTCTGCCATGGCCAAAAAGTATGTATGAGAGTATGTGTGTATCTGTCTGTGAAACAATGCCCGTGTTTGACCTGCTATCTTGGCAGCACTTCAGTTATCTATGCATTCTTTATATGTGTGATTTGGTAAACAGGCAGCCATGTTCACAATGCCTTGTGTGTCTTATCATATTTTTAATTAGCCTTTGAAATACAGCTTAAAATATTTTTATTTTATTTATTCTATTTTTACTGAAATATACTGCATTATTGTGTTAATGTATTATCTTTACTGGATATCATCTCACAGTGTATCCAGGCCTAAGTAATCTCAGTGAACTATATATTGCCTAAGGTGGTTTTGTAATGATTTATAGTCACATTTCTATTGGAATATGTAGAAGAAAGGGCATAATGCTTAAAGGTCCTTTTATTTTTTAAAAGCAGCTAGATAGACAGACTTGCCACCTCACATATCTGCTCCTTGGCAGCATCAGGGGAACAGCCAACATGCCTGTGGCCAAAACTTTGCTTTGCAGACTAAAGCACTGCTTGGTGCTTCCTTTTTATATCCTTCACCACATGTGTGCTTTCACCTAAGAGACATACACATGTCCACATGCCCTTTGTTTCCACCTGATATAAGGTCACTCATAGCAAATTAGGACCATTGTTTTTTGTCTGTCGTATTGCACGAAAGGGACATTAGACCCATTTCCATTAAAATACATTTTCGGTGGTAAACTGTGGCACTGCTACTTTTTTAAATTCCACTTTATGATTTTTGGACGGACACTTATAAAACTAATCTACACAAGGCCATTTCCTAGAAGCCACGAAACTTTCATCCTCCTCTTGTACGGCACACTCATTTCATAGGCATTGCACACAAGTTCAAGATTTCATCCATAACATGAAAAACGTTTCCCTGATATTAGCACAATTTAATAAAACCATTAGCTCTCTCATTGGCCAGGCTTAACCTAATACACATCTAACGTGTGTTATACAGCCAATAAAGAGAAGTTTAATTTATTTCAGCTTCAGGGCAAAGGTACCTGCTCACACTGTATGGATGAGAGCATTCCCTGGCATCCAGAGCAGCTTGTTTATCCTGGAAGAATGATTTGTTTTCCTTTTTGCCCCTTTTACTGTTCACCACTTTACATATCTAAATGTAATTTGTTGTGAGAATAAATTTAGCTGCATAAAATGTTTGGCTCATTTATCTGGCATCTTAGTCATATATACAAGGAACAGAAACATAAATTTAGTGTCTCTTCACTAATCATTTTTACATTATTCTCACCTCAGACTTTAGCAATCATTTTAGTAATGGAGGATTCTGATTTAATTAGTTATTGCGAATTTCTGCCTGGTAAGAAGTAGGAAGTCACTAAGTTTTGAGTAATTACCCTGTCCTTATTTTGTGATTAAGAAGGACAGTTGGCATTCTGGACACAGAAGCTTTATTTAGTCATTCAAGTCTTTTGTAAGCAGTCTAAGATGATGTTTCAGCAAAAAGAAGTCTATCTTTCACTTCCTTTGAGAACCTGACTTTAAGAAAAGAATAGAGACATGCAGGGACTAAATCCAAAATGAAAGGTAACTAGGAAAATGAGTTGAATCTGGTTTTATTTAACAGGCATATGAAAGAAGATAAATAGAAATTAAAGTATGTCCCCACTTTTTGTTCATCTTGTACTTCCCCAGTGGTTGATCTCTTTTACTCTGTTAAAGGCGGTAATTCTTAAAGACAAAATTTCATTTTGGTTTCCGGCATTATACAGTGGTAAATGATTTCAGATAAAAATATGAGTTTGCTACTGGAGTATCTAAATACAAGTAATTTCATTATTTTAGATTTTGTAGCACTTTTCTCCAAGATGTTTAAGAACATAAAATGCCAAACAAAAAAGTCAATGTAATCAATATTCTGCTCCACTAAAATTCTCTTACACTGCTTTTATCCAAAGTATTTTTCCCTTTTTATTCTACCAAAGTATTTAAATAATTGATCCTGTCCTTAGAAGATTCTCAAAGAAGAAAACCACAGGCTTATTTAATGGTTTTATTCAGAATCTCCATATACTTCTAAAGAGAAAAATAATTTAGTGCCCAGATGCATGTGAGGAGCTACTGAAAATAAGTGGCTACGAATTGTGACATCAAGCACATACTGCTACAAAAATTAGAAAAATATCCTAAACTATTTCATAACAGGGAGAGTTAACTTATCCACAGAAAACACACTTACATAAAAAATCTCAGACGTGGTACTTCAGGACAGTGGAATGCTTTTTAGCCTGGGGAGCGGGCAGGGAAAGGATAGAAGATACCAGCTCTTTACTCACTGATGGTAAGTGAAGCTGCACTGCCCTCCTAGAGGCACGGCATAGCCAAGCCAGATAGAAATTTGAGTGAGAATAAGAGAACAGACCACATAATAGTTTAAAGAGATATATATAATTTTTGATTTTTGAAATTAGTAAAATAAGCATTTAAAACATTTCTGTACTTTTTAAGAGTAATAATTAACATGTGAGGCATTCTTTTGGGATTTAAAATTAAAGCTTGGTTCAAGTATAAAAAGTCTTATTTCCTTTCTTCACTGACACATTTTATTGATAAATGTTAAATAGTAAAAGAAAAATTATTACTACTAAAATGAAATTCAACATTCTTTTTTTAGCCTCACCTCAAGAAAGAAAATAAAAAAATAGAATATTAGAGTTGAAATAGACCTAGTTATCTTATAGAGGATAATATTCTACTAAAAATCATGCCACTTGAATTGAGCGTTTAGGAATTTATATAACACTTCTACACAAATGAATTCCGAAAATAAAACTTTAAATTCAAACTTTATGAATGTGTCTATGAACTCTTTTAAACAATAAGATGTATAGCTGTATCTTATTCTAATGTCGATTTCTATTGCCATAATGAAGAAAATTAGTAGACCTAGAAATGATAAACATACCAATTCTTGGTAGGCAATTGATAACACATTCAAGATGAATCGACATTTACTATAATTAACATAGTGCTATAATATATTTTAATTGTGCATCAGAAATGATTTACCAAAGTTTGATTACTGTGTGCCATTTGAAATGACATGTACATTTTGCTGTATTACCTAATCTTTGAATAGAATCAGAAATTTTTATGAGTTTCTTCAACAATAGATATGACTTACATTCAACAGTTTTGCCTCTTCCTTAGAATTATTAGTATTTAGATGGAAATTTGCTCACAGTCGTTTTTTTACAATAGTGTTTTGCATAAGTGGTAGGAAGGGGGTAAATATGATTGTGTTCAATCGGCTCAGGATCCTGGAGCTCTTCCAACGAGAAACACTTCACTCTGTAACTATACACCTGAGCTACATACATCTGGCACTTCGGAACTTTCTGTGCTTATTCATGCGCAACCTCAGTCACATGACAAAAACTCTTGCCATGCCCTGTTCAAAGAATATTTTGGTATTTAAGAAAAAAATCAACTTCGATCGTGATTGAAAAAGTTAAACTACAACTGCCTGGATACCAAAGAGCAGTCCTGAGCTGGCAGGAGGCAGCCAGTGCCTGGTCCACATCGACGCTTCCCGACTGCCACGCAAGTCTGAGAAGGAGCCTGCTGTGAGCAGGCAGCCTCTCCCTTCAGGAGAACTGTCGCAGCTCCAAGTCCAGACTGAAAGTTAACACAAGTGAGACAAGTTCTAACAGCTGACACTGAGTCTACACTGGACATTCTAAAACAGATCAGCACTGAGCTATTGAAATCTCCGAATTCTGCGTTGCTTAATCCCCTACTTTATTGTTTCTCACTTGTCTTAATTCTCTGAAAGTAATACCACATTTAGAAGATACTAAGTAACCAAAAAGATGAGTATCTTGTGTAGGGATATGTAACCTTCTGAGAAATACCAGATTTTGAACATAAAATCAACTGCTCTTGGCTCCTGTAAAAAAAATTCAGGACAGTCAAAGCAATGGTCGAGGACGCCTGGGTAGGGAGGAAGGTGAGTTTTCTTTAGGCTTTTCCCCTTTTCTGGACAGTGATGGTGTGGGAAGGCTGCTGGTCACCAGAGTCCTGGGTCCAACCCAACGACAGTAAAATTGTGAAGTTGGTATATGAGATCTGAGCCCTTCAGAACTCGAAAATGGCATCGTTACTGGAGGCAAAACAATCTCAATGGGCTTCAGAGGAATCATTCTGTCTTCTGGCCGAGGTCTTGTGAAGTTTGTCTGCCGCTCGTATGGTCTGGAGGAACCACTGTTCTTTGTAAACCCAGGCACTGAAGAATTGGGGGTGGGCTTGTTGAGTTTTCTGATCTGTGGGGAAACCCCAACTTGAACAGTTTTTTTCTGGGGAGGAGGTGATTTTGTTAATGTTTCAGCTTGATTAGCACTGGCTTTAGTTTCTCGATTAAGGAACTCAGCAATTTTCATTTGAATGCTAGTACTCTCAGTACCGGAAGATTTTGCCAATGATGTTTTTGATTTTTTCTTCTTCTTCTCCCGTTTTGATGATTTACCCAATTCAACCCCATCCAGTAGACCCTTGGCTGCAGCTCGGGCCAAAACATCTTTCACAGAGACTGTCTCAGATGGGTCCCGCTACAATTAGAGAAACAGTTACTAAATGTGGGAGTTTGCTATTATTGTATATATTGCAAATATTTGTCAGCATTTCAGTAAAAATAAAGAGTATCTTTATTATACCAAAAGAAATAAAAATTATTTTTAGGCTTTAGCCCCTAATATATCTCATAAACCTCAACAGATGACTTTTTTTAAACTTCCTTACTTATGAACCTGATAGAAAAAAAGGATTACATGGTTTATTTCTTATATACGAGGGAGTATGTACTAAATGTTGACAGAGTGCTTGGAGAGGTGGGGGTGAAGGGCAGGCAAAAGAGAAACACTCAGGAGAAGTGTAAAGAATAGACATTATTTGCCACACAGCAATAATTCTTTTTCCTGCCCTTTTGCTATTTATGAAATAGAAGCACCTCATTACACCACGTTCAGAGTTCCCAGGTTCCTCTTATGAGACCTTGTTGTTCCTTAATTCCAACGTATGACATGGATTGGTGTTTTTGTTTCCTTACCTCCCTTGTTAAAATAGAAAGAAAACAACAGTTGGTAATTTCGGATGGCTCCATTCTGAAAAACTTATCCGTAGACAAGTGTATTTCCTTTGGGGAGCACAGCGGAAGGACGGGAGGACTAAGTCTGCAGCAGACACAAACAAACATTTAGTAATTAGAATGGCTGCTTGGCCAAGAGAGGAAGAAAACAAATTGCAGCTAAATTTTCTTCTATTTTATGTTTTACCAATCATTTAAATCGAAATTCCAAATAAGAACAAAATGCTAAAAAAATCTTTCCCAAAATCTAAAAGAGTTAAAACCTCTAATATTTCATATTAGCTCATAATTTATTATATTTCCCAAGTTCTCCATCTTTAAATAACTATATCAAGAATAACAAACTTTTAACAAACTAAGAAAAGTCACTAATATTAACAAAAAGCTTCCATTATCAAAACAGTATTATAGTAAGCACAAAGTTATAATCCAAAATTTCTTATATTTCCCCACACATTATCAAAATACAAAAGGTATGACTTCCTTCTGGTTACTTTTTGCACAATTACAATATAAAAGTATAGCCTACATTTTAACCACATTATTCTTCCCAGTCACTTTTTGAGTACACATGGATGAGTTATATAGCATTCAAGAAAGAAAAGACCTGGTATCAGAAATATAAACATCTCTAATCACAATATGTTTAAAATAAAATTTTGGTTTTCATATTTAATTTCTCATTAGTAAGTAATTTATTCATGAATAAATGATTCTATGTCCATGCTTTTAGAATAAATTATATTTAATAAGTCAAAGTGTTTAAGATCATTTTACATGAATTAAAATATCAGGAAATCTTTTATTAATAATTTTTTCCATGTAATGCACCTATAAGCCAAAGAATACCAAGGATTACCAGCAACTACCAGAAGCTAGGAGAGAGCATGGATGAAATACAGGCTCCAAAAGGAACCAAGGCTGCCAACAACTCGATTTAGGACTTCTGGCCTCCAGAACTAATACAATAAGTTTTTGTTATTATGAGCCACCAAGTTTGGGGCAATTTGTTTCAGCAGCCCAAGAAACTGACACACATGGCAAACAGGATTTTTGCAGATAAAACAAGTTCACAAATGAGTTTACCTTAAGATATGGATATTATCTGGGTGGCCCTGACCTAATCATACAAGCCTTTTAAACCTGGGTCTAGAGGTCAGGGATGAAAGAAATCAAAAATTCAAAATTGGAGATGACTATGAATCTGTCTTGCTACTGCTGACTTAAAGATGGAGGGAGCCTCACAGCAGGGAATGGAGGCTGGCAAGGAACCGAGGCCTCAGCCCTGCAGCCACAAGAAGGAGCCCGGAAGTGGGCTTCTGTCCCCAGACCCTCCAGAGAAGAGCTCAGCCTGGTCGGTGTCCTGAGCAGAGAACCCAGCTATGCCACGCCACACTCCCACCTACAGAACTGTGAGCTAATTAGATAGGGGCTTTCAGCCACCAAGTTTGTGGTAATTTCTTAGGCAGAAATAGAAAACTATTAACAATGCACAATGGCTTGCCCTAAGTGAGGAAGGAAAGCCAGGCTATAGACAGCAGACAACAAAAGAAAGGATTAAAAGACATAAAGGTGAGCCTGCTGCAGTGGATATCCTGCAGAGGCTAGAAACCCCCCAGAGGACTGTGTTGAGAAGAGGGCCCCAGGATACACCCTCATCAAAGAACCAGCAGCGTGCAGGTGAGAGCAGCACCGCAGCACTAAGCAGTTCGGTGGTAGCTTTCCTGTGTAGGCCAGGGCTGACAGTAGGAGACACTGTCACAGAACTGGGCTCATTGACAGCAATAAGAATAACAGGACCCTGAATAATAGCCACCAGGCAAGTGAATTATCCATCAGAAGCCAGGCATATGCAATTATTAATTGTCATAATGAGTACCAAGATGGCAGTAGGTACCCAATCCCTTTCATGCACTGCTCACCTTCCCTACTGAATTATATCTCCAAAAACTTATTAAAATAGGAACAGTTACATATAGTTGATGTATAAATTATCCATAACATAATATACACACACCATTCACATGCTGATATCTAGCTGATACACACAGGTATGGTTGTATCAGCCACAAAAATATCAAAATTCCCGGGTTCCTGCCTGCTGCTACCCCAGCAAGCCTCGTGCTCCTCAGACCTTCCCGTAATGAAAAGGAACAGAGGCTACACCTGGCTCCTTAGGGGACCTTCAGAGCCCTGCTGCATCCTCCTAATGGGACAGTTTGGGATTTAGAGGTGTAGAGATATAGAAAGGAAATTATTAACCTTCCCATTATGCATCTTTGGATTGTTTTATTTAATATGTAGATGTGGGTGGGGTTTCTGTAATTAACAAAAATAAAATTTTAGAAGAAAACCATTTAAAACTGTAGTAGTTAAAGCACTGTCATATTAGTATGAAAACAGCCACATACCAATCAAATGGAACTACAGACTTACACAGAAGTATATATGGGATTATAGCATATGAAAAAGACAGCATTTTAAATCAGAGGGAAGAAGGGGCAGGGAAAGATTATTTAGGGAAAAAATAAAGCTTTATCCACACTATACACCTTTAGCAAAATAAATAGCAGAAAATCAACTATTTAAATACAAAAAAGGTAAAATTATAAAAGTACTAAAAGAGAACTGGTAAAAGCATCATAATCTGAGGATCAATATAACAAAATTAGAAGCCATAAGAGAAAGATTGATATACAGAAATTTAAAATTTCGGTAAAGCAAATTTTTAAAGTTTTTATTTAAAAATATTTAAAAATAAAAAGATAATCTAAAAATATTTGTAATTTATATGAAAACAGTAAATATCCCTAATACACAATAAGACATATAAAAAGAATAACCCAGTTGAAAAAGTGGGAAGGTACATGAACATGCAATTTACAAATTAATAAACAACCGTAACAATTAAAAGTTATTGAACATTTGTTATTTGTTCATGTATTAATATATTCAAGGATCTAATGAATATCATTAATATTTTTACAGCCACCTCTTCCTCTTTTCCATTCACAATAACCTTCTGCCACTTACAAAAAATGGCATAATCGTCATTTACCTCATTATAGTATATTGTCCCAAGATGTCCAAGGAGCTAAACAAAGGGACAACTTAAGGGTGTGGCCCTCTTCTCCCAAGCAGAGCAGAGTTTAGGCAGAAACCTTACGAGTGTCGAGCTCTCAGCAAAGCAGTGTTTCCTCCCTCCCTCTTCATCCCTCCACTTCCCTTCCTTATTTCTATGTATCTATCTCTCCTAGAATTAAAATTTAGATGTTTTCATAAGAGAATGTTTATTTGAATTAAAGAATAAAGTTAGGTTTTTCTTCTGACAAGGTAAATCTGGTTTTGACAATGAGAACTAGTTATGTAAAAAGGTGACAAGTTCAGCATTTTTCCATAAATCAAATAAGATAAAATCTTCAGGTCCAAAGATTTAACAGAAATATATTTAAAACACATATGTAACATAATAGTGTAGAAATAATATATTTTTCAACTATTTCAACCTAAAATGAAAATGTTAGACATTAACTTTCAAATAAAGAACAAGATACATAATCAAAAAATTTTAGGGAGTATTTGAGCAAAGACCTTTGAAGCCCACTGTTCTGGAATCCCCACTTTTAACTACTCCACGCTACACTGCCCAGCCAGTAAACTGGAAGCATGCATAACCGTATTAATAGAGAATTGAAAATGTAATAAACAATGGTAGCACATCTTTTCACCCCTTAGACTGGTAAATATGTAAAAGTCTGATAAAACTTAGCATTTGTGAAGCTGTGGGGAAACAGATTTATAAGAGTGAATATTTTGGTGGGTAATTTGATGATACCAATTAAAATATGCACATTTTTGGTGCTGAAAAAATCTAGAAGACTATAAATCAAACTATTAAGGACAGCTATATATTAAAGGATGGGATTTAGAAAAACTTTTTCTTTTTAAGTTAGTACTTCTATAATGTGTGAGGTATTTACAATAGGGGACCAAAAAATTTGCATAGGCCTAAGGTAAGTATCATGATGGCTCAAGTCCAAATTGAGCTGAATATTTCTAGGACATTAAGAGGAAATATAAGCCCAGGTGAGTGATTAGATTAGATGACGTATAATACTGCTTTCAACCCTAAATTCTACTACTTGGAAGTGTCAAGAAATGATTCTTAAGGCCTGCTAGGATACTCCCCTAAGCAATGCCTAATTTCTTTTGACAGCATCCCCAGTGAGTAGTTATAAACCTCTTGAATATACACTCTCCAATTTGAAGCTAAAATCTCAGACCAATCTAGAATATGAATTATTCTGCCTTTATAATAATGTCTTTATGAAAGAGGTCCACAGGGAGAACTACGAAACACTGAGGTAGGAAAGAGCAGAGCACGTAAACAGGTGGAAAGCCATACCATGCTCGTGGGTCGGCAGAGTCAATATTGTTAGAATGTCTGCACTACCCACAGTGGTCGTCAGATTCAATGCAATCCCTATTAAAACAACAACATAATTTTTCACAGATCTAGAAAAAATAATTCTATACTTCGTATAGAACCCATATAGCAAAAGCAATCTTAAGCAAAAAGAACAAATTGGGAGTTATCAATTTATCATACTTCAAGCTACACTACAAGGCTATAGCAACTAAGACAGCATGGCACTGGCACAAGATCAGAGACATAGACCAATGCTACAGAACTGGGAACCCAAATATAAAACCATTCTCATATAGCCATTTAATCTTTGGCAAAGCAGACAGAAACATACACTTGGGAAAAATATCCTTATTCAATCAATGGTGCTGTAAAAACTAGACAGCCACATGTAGAAGACTGACACAGGATCCACACCTCTCACGTCTCACAAAAATCAACTCATGGTGGATAACAGACTTAAACCTAAGGCATGAGACTATAAGAATTCTAGAAGAAAATGTTGGAAAAACTCTTATAGACATTAGCCTAGGGAAAGAATTTATGAAGAAGACCCCAAAGGCAATCACAGCAACAACAGAAATAAATAAATCGGACCTGATCAAATTAAAAAGCTTCTGCACAGCCAAGAAAACTATCGCAAGAGCAAACAGACAACCTACAGAATGGGAGAAAATATTCACAAGCTACACATCTGATAAAGGGCTGATAACTAGAATCTATATAGAACTCAGGAAAGAAAATCAGCAAGAAAAAATCAAACAACCCTACCAAAAAATGGGCAAAGGACATGAACAGAAACTTTTCAAAAGACTAATGGCCAACAAACATATGAAAAAATGCTCAGCATCTCTAATCATCAGGGTAATGCAAATCAAAACCACAATGAGATATCACTTAACTCCAGTGAGAATGGCTTTTATCAAAAAGTCCCAAAACAATAAATGTTGGCATGGATGCAGAGAGATAGGAACACTCATACACTGCTGGTGGGACTGCAAACTAGTGTAACCTCTGTGGAAAGTAATATGGAGATACCTTAAAGAGATACAAAGTAGATCTACTATTTGATCCAGCAATTCCATTACTGGGGGCATCTACCCAAAGGAAAAAAAAAACACATTCTATAAAAAAAGACTTTTGCACTCAAATGTTTATAGCAGCACAATTTTCAATCCACAATTTCAAAGATGTGGAAACAACCCAAGTGCCTATCAATATATGAGTGGATTAATAAAATGTAGTATATGTATACCATGGAGTTCTACTCAGCCACAAAAAAACGATGGTGATTTTGCACCTCTTGTATTATCCTGTATTACCCTGGATAGAGGTGGAGCCCATTCTACTAAGTGAAGTATCACAAGAATGGAAAAACAAGCACCACATGTACTCACCATCAAATTGATATTAACTGATTAACATTTATGTGCACATATAGTAGTGACATTCATTGGGTGTCAGGTAGGTAGGATGGAAGAAGAGGGGATGGGTATATTCACACCTAATGGGTACGGCACATCTGGAAGATGGACAAGCTTGAAGCTCTGACTCGGGTGGGGCAAAGGCAATATATGTAACCCAAACATTTGTACCCCCTAATATGATGAAATAAAAAATAGGCCGGGCGCGGTGGCTCACGCCTGTAATCCTAGCTCTCTGGGAGGCCGAGGCGGGTGGATTGCTCGAGGTCGGGAGTTCGAAACCAGCCTGAGCAAGAGCGAGACCCTGTCTCTACTATAAATAGAAAGAAACTAATTGGCCAACTAATATATATAGAAAAAATTAGCCAGGCATGGTGGCGCATGCCTGTAGTCCCAGCTACTTGGGAGGCTGAGACAGAAGGATCGCTTGAGCCCAGGAGTCTGAGGTTGCTGTGAGCTAGGCTGACGCCATGGCACTCACTCTAGCCTGGGCAACAAAGCGAGACTCTGTCTCAAAAAAAATAAATAAATAATGTTTCTAAAAAGCCTAAAAAAATATATCTATTTTATGTCTTTAAATATTACTTTTATGTCTTTTATACCATATTATAATCATTAATCATAGTTTACCTGAGATAAAATACAGATATTCCTCCATTTTTGCCATAATATATTCTTAAAAATCTCATCCCTGACAAATCAAGAGTTATACATTCCATATTCACCAACTTGGTTACATGCCTCCAATAATGCCCTTTGCCACTAGATAGTGACTTAGCTAATGCTATGTTGAGGACCTCTGAGAACATGAGGTTGGCTGTTAGCCACCAATAGGAGCTACTAAAATAAGGAAAGAAAGTCAATAAGAAGGGAAATAGAAGTGTAATGAACATGTCCACTGTGAAATAGCAAAGGGAAAATATCAAGAGGAGGAAGCAGACTATATGCATATAATGAATTAGAGGAAAAGCTCACATGAGAAAAAAGTAAAAAATAAAAGAGAAGTTTAAAATACCTCATTCACTGCCACAGTCTTAAAGAACTAATTCATGTCATTTATTCTTAGATATACTCCTTTTCTTGATGTCCGCAGTTCAGATTGTATATTAATGCTCTTTTTCTCAAGTCCTAGTTTATTGCAGCATTTTACCCAGAAGCTACTATAGATATCCAGGTTATTTTTCCTCAGTCCTGGTGGGTACTGAAGGCTAAAATAGCTTAAGAAATGTCTAAGTTTTCAGGCAATAAACATCCAATTTTCTGTCTACTTTCTAAGAATATTTTATGTACTTATTTTTCTTTTACTAAGGTATACGTGTATCTAAAATAGGGATGTGAAATTTGGACCCAGTTTATCCAGAAACTAGTCAAGTCAAAGCCAAATGCCTTTAGCAGCAGCAAAAACAAAAACAAAGCAATCTGTGAATGTGCAAGAAAATGCGTATGCCGAGCTGTTGCAAGGGCTCTGCAGAATCTGCTTTAAGGCTGTAAGAAGTTAGGTTATTTGATCACATTAAAGTGCAATAAAAAGGCAGAACGTCTTCATACAACTTACAAAATCCTATTTTTCATTTTCAAAAATATTTGATAGTTTGAGTTGTTTGGAAGAGTCCTTTCTTTTCTTACCTATAAGGTTGTACTTTATTCCCAAGATCTTGACATTCCAGTGCTTTCTTAACAACAGCTTCATTTTCTTCTGGATAAACTGAACATGTGCAGTAAACAACTGCTTGAGCTTTAGTAACTAAATTTAAAGAAGAGGTAATGAACATAATGGCCCCATCAACAGTCCTACACAAATTTGCTATGTTTCTAAACATCTATTTGATACCACATGGCTTAGACAGGAATGATCTCCACAGATGCTTGAATGGCTCCCCTTTAAAGCAAAAGCTTATATTAGTAAGGTAGTTTGCAGTCAATAAGTAAAGTCAATTGAACTGGATTGTGTGGGAATTGTAAAGCCAATCAATGTGACCAACCCAGTTACTAACACAAAGAAGTAAACAATGCAGATTACCATGAGCTTGATACTTTCAGCCATATTGCCTAATTAGCTGAAAGGACTATAGAAACAAACTTAGATGTGAATCCCAGTTCTGTCCCTTAATGCTGTACGAACCTGTGCAAATTACTTAGTCTCACATCTTCCATCTGTAAAATGAGGTGATGACATCACACCTGCAGTTCACTCATCGATTCAGACTTACTGAGCACCTGGCACACACATCAGGCACTCCTTCCAGGCTTTGCGATACATCAGCAAACAACACACACAAAAATCCCTGCCCTGGTGGAGCATACTTTCTAGGAGAGAAAGACACTAAATAGGAAAACTACATAGTATCATTAAGTAATAAATGCTATGGAGAAAAACAAAGCAGGGATGAAGGACAGAGAGATTCAGGAGAAATACTATTTTCAATAGGGCAGTCAGGGAAGGCATTTCTAAGATGGGGAGCTGTGGGTGGACTAGATTAGGGAGCCAGCCACAGAGCTATCTAGAGGAGGGCATTCTAAGTAAGGGAGTGGCAAGCTTACAAGCCCTGAAGTGACTGTGGCCTGGCACGTTCAGGGAAAGTGATGGGGCCAGTCTGACTGGAGCAGAGGGAACAGGGACAGAATGGGAGATGAGATCAGAAAGAACGGTCTGAGTACCAGCTAGCACAGGCACTTGTCGGTTTTTACTCTATGATAGGATGCTACATGTTTTAATAAGATCACTCCACTTTCTGTGTTGTGAATAGGTTGGAGGGGGAGGAGTGGAAGCCAGTAGAGAAAGTGGGAGGCCATGCTGGCCTGGACACAGTGGTAGTGGTGGAGGCGGCTAGATTCTGGGTATATGTAGAATGTAGAATGTACCTCATTTGCTGACAGACTGGCTCTAGGTAAGAGAAGTCATGGACAATGCTAAGGCTTTTAGCCGGAGCAAGTGGAAGGCTAAAACTGTCATTCACTGAAATGGCAGCACTGTGGGAGGAAGACGTGTGGTGGGAGGAAGAGGAGGAGTCCATCTCAGATGTGTGAAGGCTGAAAGCCCTAGCAGTCCCTGAGTGGAGACATCAAGAGGCAGCAACCATGGCACACTTGCATATCAAAGAGGGTGTTGAGACAGAGAGCACCCAGCAAGGGAGACTAAGAGGGCCAGCCCGGGAGATGGGAAAGGCGGCCACGACTGTGGTGTCTTGGAAGACAAGTAAAGTAAGTGTGTGAGAGGAAAGGAAGTGATCGATTACGCCATTGCCACAGAGAGACCGTGTTAGGCGAGGACTGTGAAACGAGGCAACTGCATGGGGATCACTGGTAATCCTTATAAGAACATATGAGGTTAGTGGCAGGAGTGAAAGTGCAAAGGTAAAAGACTCAAACGGAATGAGAAGAGAGAATCAGAGAAACATTGTTCTCAGAGGAAAAGCAAGTTATAGAGGGAAAAGGTGGAGAACATTTGAAAAAGTTAAAATATAGGGAATTTCTGTTGATGAGGGACTATTAGTTCTAGAGTGCACAGAGAGAGATCTGGACATACAAGGGGATTTGAAAAGAGTTATGGGGACCAGAGTGTAAGAAATGAGGGGTCAGGGGCTTCTTGAGTTAACTGTCATTCATAAGCATAAAGGATGTAATGAGACGTGTTTCTCATGATTTTAAAGCAGTCATGGCAAGGCTGTGAGGTTTGGAGGGTAAGGGAATTAGGACAGGCTGGTCCCCATGTCACTCCGGTCACAGGAAGGCATGGAAGCTAAGGGAGAAGACATGATGAGGATTAAATAAAATAATGCATATAAAGAAAGCAGCAGGGTGCCTGGCACCTGATAAGTGATCAATAAATGCTCAAATATTTTAAAAATTATTTCTACAACTAATAAGAGGACTGAGCATGTTTGATTTCAAATGGAGCTTTTAGTCATTTCTATCAAAATTTGGTTAGGCACTTAAGCATTGTTTTATGGGAAAATCAAATACAACTTGTTTTGATTTACAGTATGTCTTCTGGTAATATAAACTGTCATAATCTTGAGAGTTGCCAACTTTTATGTTTATTTCGCATAATAGAGTTTATTAAAATCCCTTTGCTTTTCATGATTCTTTCTGAAGCTTTAAGTTTTAAATATTCAATTAAAATTTAATAAAAATGCATAAAGGAAAAAATTATTATTTACTAACATCCTGATCTTCCAACCAACTTATTCCATAGATTGTATACATACTATCATGTTCAAATGAATATTTATTAGCAATATCAACTAAAAAGGCAGACCTCCTCTATGCCATTTTGCCTTATTTCTACCTCATGTATCTTTACGTATGGAATTATCTACTCCCACACACTTATCTTTGAGCCTTTAGAGATCAGGATTTACTCACACTCATATGCCTTATCTCTAGCTTAATGCCTGACCCAGAGTAGGCACTTGATAAATATACACTGAATTAATAAAAGTGTATTAATTTCTCAGAGACACCTAGATTTCCATGTTTACATGTGGAAACCCAGTTGTACTCAAACCAAAATGGAGTGATTGGAGCAATGATACAAATTACTCAAAGAGCTTTGTTACTCAGACTTCAAAACAAGTGATCTAGGCTTGGGCCGGGTGCAGTGGCTCACGCCTGTAACCCTACCACTGTGGGAGGCCAAGGCGTGCGGATTGCTTGAGGTCAGGAGTTTGAAACCAGCCTGAGCAAGAGAAAGATGCTGCCTCTACTAAAAATTGGCCAACTAAAATTGGCCAACTAAATTAATTTGCCAACTAAAAATATGTAGAAAAATTAGCTGGACGTGGTGGTGCATGCCTACTCCAGAGGCTGAGGCCAGAGGATCCCTTGAACCCAGGAGTTTGAGGTTGCTGTGAGCTGACACTCGACACTCTAGCCAGGGCAACAGAGTGAGACTCTGTCTCAAAAAAAAAAAAAAGAGAGAGAGAGAGAGACATCTAGGCTTTATCTGTAATTTCACCTCTCTGTTCTCTATTTAGCACTAAGAGAAATAAGAGTATGATTAAAATTTGGACTACAGGCTGGGTGCAGTGGCTCATACATGTAATCCCAGCACTTTGGGAAGCCAAGGCAGGAGGATCGCTTGAGGCCAGGAGTTTAAGGCCAGCCTGAGCAACATAGTGAGACCTCATCTCTATGAAGTAAATAAAATACATACATACATAAATTTGGAATTGTTAGGGGTAGGCACAAGGAGAAGAAATAGGAAAGATTAAACTGTAGAAATATGAATGTACACAATTATTTCACTTCAACATTAGAAAATTATTAAATTATGCCTCCTAACCTGTTTAAAATTATAGTAAAGCATGCTTTAAAGATTTAGGTAAAACTGGTAAAAAAAAAATAAATATTTTTGTTATTTGAAGAAACTATAACTCAATGTTCTGAAAAATTTGCTTATGGTTCACACTTCATTGCTTGTTTATAATGGATAAATGAAGGATTAATGTTTCTAAGATTTACACCATATTTTAACATGACCATACTAAAGACAAACTTACATTTCATTGCATGTATTAGCTGTTCATATTGCTGTTGAGCAAGAACATGAAGTTTATCTTCTGATGTGCCTCCTTGAGAGAGATCTTTAAGTAAATCTGTATCTAAATTTTAAAAAATAAAGACTTTAAAATATATCACTGTTAGGTACTTTTCATATAGTGTTATTATCACATATTTTTCAATTGTTTTGCCTACTAGTGAAAATTTTCATGGAAAATATCTAGTAAAACTAAATAGATAATATTAAAATATTGACTTAAATATTAGAAAAATAAAGGTAATTTAGTTTTAATATTGTTTTTCAAAAAGAATATTGAATATATCTAATATTGTTTTTCTCAAGTTCCTATGAGATAGTCATCTAAGTAGTCATATACATCATTTAGGTACAGAAGACAGAATGCAATCAGTCTGGACACTAATTACGGAAAAGAGAGAATAAGATTTATTTTCCAAAGTAGAAACTAATGGGCTATAGTCAGATCTGGGAGGGAAAGGACACACAAGGATACAGTTTAAAACATTAACTTTCCAAAAGAAATCTTAGAATAAAAAATTCACAAAAGCAAATTTATATCTTCATAACACTTTTTAGATTTTGAAAAATAACTTAAACATATTTCTTAATAATATTAACTAAGATATATGAATGCTAACTTACATAGATTATTTTATTTAACAACCTCTTGAGGCATTATCATCTCTGAACATTAAAAAAACCGTTTAAACAAACATTAAACAACTTGTCTAAGGTTATATGGCTACTAAATGTACACTCAGGATTCTAACTCAGAAATCTGACCAGTCTATACTTTTTTTTTTTTTTTTGAGACAGAATCTCACTTTGTTGCCCAGGCTAGAGTGAGTGCCATAGTGTCCTAGCTCACAGCAACCTCAATCTCCTGGGCTCAAGCGATCCTCCTGCCTCAGCCTCCCGAGTAGCTGGGATTACAGGCATGTGCCACCATGCCCAGCTAATTTTTTGTATATATAATTTTTAGTTGGTCAATTAATTTCTTTCTATTTTTAGTAGAGCCAGGGTCTCACTCTTGCTTAGGCTGGTTTCGAACTCCTGCCCTTGAGCGATCCGCCCATCTTGGCCTCCCAAAGTGCTAGGATTACAGGCGTGAGCCACCACATCTGGCCTAACTAATTTTTTGTATATATAATTTTTAGTTGGTCAATTAATTTCTTTCTATTTTTAGTAGAGCCAGGGTCTCACTCTTGCTTAGGCTGGTTTCGAACTCCTGCCCTTGAGCGATCCGCCCATCTTGGCCTCCCAAAGTGCTAGGATTACAGGCGTGAGCCACCGCATCCGGCCTATACTTTTAAACTCTGTTTTATATTGCCTCTCTAAAACTGCCTGGAGTAGGATAGCCAATTATTTATACCACGTATTTCACTATTCTTCATTCCAATAATATCAATTAAAGTTAATTAAACTGCATTTCTTCCCAAATTAGTTTTACACTTACTAGTCCAATGATTCTGGGAGGCCTCATTAACTTCCCCAAGCCTCAGATTCCTTATTCATAAAGTGGAGATAATCTACTTCACTGAGTTCTCATGAAGATTTAATGAAATAATACAAGTAAACTGCTTAGCTCAGTGCCTCACATATGAATGCTCAGTAAACGTTAAGGTCAATGACAATTTTAAAATTTATTAAAGAAGTCAATAAAATGTTCCTAGAATATTTAATCTGAGGTATTCATATCATAAACATATATACTGGAGGTTTAAAAAGTTATATGTTTGAAATAATCTAACTATAATTTAATCAGGATCATGTTAAGAGCACAGGCTCTAGTCTAGAGTCATGCAGACCTAAAATCTACAGTCATGAATCCCAACTCTGTCACAAACTAGTTGTATACCTGATAAAAATGAATCCATCTTTCTGAGTCTCAGTTTTTTCACCCATAGAATGCTGATAAATTTCAATGCCTACATCAAGAGCTCTAGTATATACCAGAATAGCATACTGGCCAGCATCTGTTCTGACTGCCTTCATTATTCCAATTATTAAATATTTTGAATATCACACTTGCCCATTGCTTACAGGATAGGTATAAGGATAAAATTAGGTAACAGATGTAAAGTACTTCACATGCAGTAAACACTTTATACATGGTAGCTGTTATTTATTAATAAGATATATCTGATATGCTATTATTAATGATTTTAAATAATTTTATATTTTATCAACTAATTTCAATAATGTAGAAATTAAAATAAGTACCTTCATGTTCATTTAAAATAAATTCTACTGGATTACTAACACCCAGTCCTGAACAACGAGGTAGCAGCAGAATTACTTTAACTTTCTGTAACCTGTGATCCTTTGATTCAATGTTAATAAATGCCTCATGAAGTATTTCAACATCTGGAGAAAAACACAGAAAAACTAATGTAAAAATATTAATTAAAAATCTTAATGCAATATGTGATTATATCTATTTACTGTACATTTTTAAATCCTCAACCCCACAGAAACTCATTTTAATATAGCTAGAAAAGAGGGATATTAGTCTCTGATAACTTCCCAAAGTTAATACAGGAGTTCTCTTAATAGACTGCTTTCTCTCACCTGAGAGAGTGATTTTGATATTTAAAATTAAATTTCCCATCCTGGACTTCAGGTTCAATTTAAAATAGCATGATATAGGGGAAGAAAATGGGCTTTAGCAGCAAAAAGATTCAAGTTTGATACTCAGCTTCTCCATTTACTAGTTGCGTGTCTTTTCTGGGATGCTTGACTCTCTGTATTACCATGAAAATTTTTAAACCAGCTTGTCAATTCCACAAAAACATTCACTAGAATTTAGACTGGTATTAAATTGAATCTACATAGAGCAATTGGGAGATAAATCTCATCTTTGTGACATTTACTCTTTCAATTCATGAACACAATCTATCCTTCCATTTACCTAGGTCTTCTTTCTTTCAATAATGTTCCACAGTTTCATGAGATCTTACACACCTTTTATTTGATATATTCAAATATTTTGTTTTTTTGTATTGTCGTAAAAGGTATTTGTTTTTAAAACTTCATTTCAAAATTTTGTTGTTGGTATATAGAAATAAATTGATTTTTGTATGCTGACCTTGTATCTAGTAACCTTGCAAACATCACAATAAATTCTATAGTCACAGATTATCTTGAATTTTCCATACACATAATCTTGTCACCTATAAAGACAGTTTTATTTCTTCCTTTTTGATTTTTATTTCTTCTTTTCTTTTCCTTGCTGCATTGCCTATGACCTCCAGTACAACACAATGTTGATTATGGGTGGTGATGACAAGCTTGTTTGTATAATTCCTGATATCAGAAAGCAAGCTTTAAACATTTCACCAAGTACGATGTTTGCTGCAGATATATCATGAAAGAATATTAAATTTTACCCAATTCCTTTAGTGCGTCTATTGAGATTTTTCTCTGTCAATGTGACTATGCAAATTGATTTTTAAGAGTTAAACTAACTGCATTCTTAGAGAAAACACAGCATGTTTATAATGCATTAATATACAGCTAAATTCAGTTTATTAATTTTTTTATATTTATAATTTTTCAGTTTACTAATTGCTATGGTTTGGATATGGTTTGTCCCCACAGAAACTCATGTTGAAATGTGATCCCCCATGTGGTGGTGCTGGGAGGTGGGGCCTAACAGGAAGCCTTGGGTCATGACAGCACCACCCTCATGGTGGCTTGGTGCCATGCTCGTCTGGTCTGGTGAGTGAGTTCTCTTTCTGGTGAGGCTGGATTAGTCCCTCAGGAAGGCATTAGTTCCGAGAGAGCGGGTTGTTGTGAAGCCAGGATGCCCCCGGAATTCTGCCCCTCTTCGCACATGTCCACTTCCCTTGACCTTCTCTGCCGTGCTACAAGGCAGCGCAGAAGCCCTCACCAGGAGCCACGGACATGTCCTTGAACCTCCCAGCTTGCAGAACTATGAGCTAAATAAATCTTTTTCCTTTATAAGTTACCCAGCCTCAGGAATTCTAGCAATACAAAACAAACTAAAATACTAATTTTTTTTTTTTTTTTTTTTTTGCTGGATAAAAAAATCTAGCCTGACAGTTTCTTTCAGTGCTATGGAGATAATGTTTAATAGTTTTCTGGCTTTAATTTTTTCTGTTGAAAAGTTAGTTTTTGTTTTATTCCCATTCTATTCAAAGTAATGTGTATTTTCCCCCTGACTGCTTACATTGCCCTTTGTCTTTGGTTTCAGCACTGTAATATGTCTAATGTGTTGTCTTAGTGTGTTTGGGCTGCTATAACAAAATACCACAGCATGAGTAGTTTATAAACAAAAGAAATTCATTTCCCACAGTTCTGGAGGCCAGGAAGTCCAAGATCAAGGCACCAAAAGACTTAGTGTCTTGTAAGGAAGCACTTTCTCAAAGATGGTGCCCTGTCGCTGTGTCCTCCTGTGGTGGAAGGGGCTAGCGAGCTAGCTCTCTGGTGTCTTGTTCGTAAGGGCACGAATGCCACACACGAGGGCTCTGCCTTCATAACCTAATCACCTCCCAAAGGTCCCACCTCCTGATACGTCACGTTGGGGGTTAGGGCTTTAACATACGAGTTTTGAGGGGACACAAACACTCAGACCATAGCATATGTTTTCATATATTTACTCTTCTTAGGGTTCAAAGTGCTTCTTGAAACTGTAGCTTAACGTCTTTCATCCATTAGAAAATTCCCAGCCTGCAATTCAAATGTCGTTTCTTACCAATTCCTTTTCTCCTCTCTTTATGCAATCCCAGTCAAATATACATGAGATCACCAAATCACTGAGTCGCATATATATCTTATGACCCTTTTCATATTATTCATCCTTTTTTTCCCCAATGCTTCAGTCTGGATATTTTCTTCTGGCCTGTCAGTTCACTCACTGTTTTAGTTTTGTGTAATTTGCTGTTAAACCTATCCATTTACTTCTTAATTTTATACATTGTATTTTCCAGTTCTAGAACTTTCTTTTGGCTCTTTTTTGATTATACTTTCTAGTTCTCTGCTAAAATTCTAAAACTTAGCATTTACTCTTTCCAATATATTAATCATAGTTATTTTAAAGTCTACATCTGCTATATCCAGCATCTGGATTGTGGGTCTGCTTCTATTGTGTTTTCTCTTTATTTCTGTCATATCATATCTTTTTTTCTTATTTGTTGGGTTTTTTTTTTTAATATATATAATGGAGTGGCAGACATTGCATTTGAAAAAATTTAGGAGATAATTGGAAACCTACGATTTTTTTTCTCCCCCAAAAGAATTTACTACTACTACTACTTTTTTTTTTTTTTTTTTTTTTTGAGACAGGGTCACGCTCTATTGCCCAGGCTGGAATGCAGTGGCACAATCATAGTCCAGTGCAGACTCCAACTCCTGGGCTCGAGTAATCTTCCTGCCTCAGCCTCCCGAGTAGGCAGGACTTCAGGCGTCACCACCACACCCAAATAATTTTTTGTTTTTTGTAGAGACAGGGTCTCACTATGTTGCCCAGACTTCTCTTGAACTCCTGGCCTCAAGTGATCCTCCCACCTCAGCCTCCTAAAGAATTGGATTCTAAGCATGAGCCACCATGCCCATCAGAAAAAGAATATACTTTTGCTTCTGGCAGGCAGCTAAGACTGGGCACTAGCAATCTCGGATCATCTTAATCTAATTGGTAATTAAGAAGGCTGGAATTTGGGCTCCAATTCTTTAGAGGGCTGATCACTATCTAGGGTGTACTTCTGGGTTCCAAGTGAAATCCTAGAGTATTTAGAAGGCTTCCACTCCTGGACAAATCCTGAATTCCACTTTTTGTCTCCCTATCCCTATGAATCTGTTTGAAGTTTTGCTTGGGTTTTCACTGAACCTATAATAAAATGTGACCTTTAGTTAGCATGGTCCAATGGAAAAGTTTTCAAAAACAAGTCTAAAAGCTTCTAGTCCTAGCTATTATCTTATTATTATTGTTACTTAAGCACTTATGTGATTATATTCTTATTTGTTAAATGATAAAATTTTTACCATCTGCTTTAACAAAATGTTTGAGCCACAAATTATGTAGTAGCTAAATGTCAAATACTATTCCAAAGTATTAATACCAAGATATTACTATAATATACAGTTGTTTAACCAAATTAAGCAACAAGAACACCCTGATTATAATATAGATTAATGAGGATTTTAACACTATAGTTCACATACAGAGTTTTTATATTACAAAAAACTAATAAAACACTTTTAACATTTCTAAAATCTTATAGAGCAATTATCACCAAATATTTGTACATACTTTTACATCCCATTTTTTTAAAAAGGTTCTTCAAGTCTGGATCTTTAGCTTGTGATTGTACTCCACACACAAATATTTTTGAGGTAGTATCATTTGTTAGGGTTGACATATGGGCAACTGTGTACCATGAGCCTGTATTGACCATTAAGATATCATCATCCATATTTAATAAAGCCTTTACAGAGTGGACAGCAAGACTTCGAGATTTGTCCTACAAGATAACATTATGATTAGAATTTCAAAGGGTATGATTAGAAATATAAGATAATTTATTTTTACTTTACATAAAAAAAAGTGCTCAGTAGGAATCTTGAGATACCTAATCTATTTTAGTTGAAACATCTTAATGTATGTCTAAATAAAAAGTTAACAAAGATAACTGATATGTTTAAAATGAAAAGTGTAACTTTGTTTAGCCTAAATGATGACTATAATCATTTAATTTTTGTATAGTGATGAGACAATGCCAAAATCTCTAAAACATGATTAATAGATTAGTGATGTCCTATCTTTGCTCCCATTCTTACCCTTTCACAAAACCCCACACAGCTGCTACTGCCATTTTTTCTTCCCCATCACATTGTCACCTGAATTGTTACTAGCCCAGAGACTGAAATTAAGATGTTTGAGAAGCTTATAAAGGGGGGTTTGACAGACTGGGCTTCTGCAATTGATCTCAGTGCTTGATGGGGTAAGAGATTCTACCCAAGAATACAGGTGTGGAGAGAGGAAAAACCTTGGAAGACCAAAGTGAATCTGAAGTGAAAACTGGAATCTAAGGATGTAAAAATAAGTTTAACTTAATTTTTTGGACCTTTTATTCCCATTCTGTTGAAACTACATTATATGTCACATTCTCTTCTTGTATTGACAGCCCTTATACATCTCTTACAAATCAAAGCTGTAAGACTATATTAAAGAGATTATTGTAAAAAGTATTAAACATTTCCTTTTCATATGCAAGATGGCACTAGTATCTTCCCAAGAAATAGAAGGAAGAAAAGGTTTCATTGTACCTTCTCTTGAATCCTCTCTTAGGAGAAAAAAATATAGTCTTTCAACTGTCAGCAATACAAATCTCCCCATCTATGGAATCTGTGAGAATATGTTCTTTATAACTTCACACGAGACAAAGATGCCAAAGTAAAATAGGAGCACTGATAGTAGAAGTATTAATTTTATTGAAGGTGACAATCAGGCTTTATAAACCTCCCTGATAATCCATAGAAAATGTAATCAGTGTTAGCTTTTATTTTTAAGCGGAGAGATTCTTTGGCTACGTTGGATTATTAAGAATCACAATGAAAGTAAATATTAGTTTACCTGAAAAATAAGTTTATAATCTTTGAAAAGATCTATATTTATAAGACCATTTTTAAGATGAGATGGAAAAATTAAAACATCATAGCAATGTTGGTCTACAGCAAAGACTTTATCATCAATATGCAATACAGATTTGACTTCATTATAGCCTCTTCTCTTCAAATTATTATAAACTTCTTCAGGGCTGTAAATATACAACATTAGCTTATAATTACAAATATAATAATTAAAAATGTATTTAATACTAACACCTTATTCCTGCAACAAAGTAAAAATATCACTGCATATATTATTAATACATCTAATGGAACTCACAATTTTAGCCGACAGCAAGTTAAAAAAATAGAGACAGAAAAGTTAACATATTTATGCAATTACCTTTGGTAATTTGGTAATGAGATCTGGAACTAAACTATGATTCCCTAATCACTCCCCAGAATGTGCCCCCTATCCCTTAAAAAGGCAATATTTATTATCACATTATTTTTAAAGGATAGAGACTTGAAATATAAATAAAGAATTTGATTTAAGCTCTTACCTGATTTTACAAGTATTTATCCAAGCATAAAGTGGCAAAGTGGAGGCCCTTAGTTCCTGTTTCCTAACTGTTTCTGGTAGAATGTGGTAAATTGAAAGGGCATCATGTTTGATTCGACATCTTGCCAACGCTGCAGCCAATTTTGTCTTAAAACTAGAGATAGAAAATCCATTCTTGATCTATTGCATTTGAGATATGACTATCAATTTTCTAGTAGAAACATTAACAAATTACATTTAGAATTTTTAACACATTATTCTATAATTCCATTTCAAATTTTTGAAGCCGAAAATAAAAATTTGTCATTTGAAAATAGAAATCTAATAATCCTGATTCCTTTTTTTCTGTTTTTGCTGCCCCTATACAGTTTTGCATCTCCTCAAATATTTGTATTGATTGCTGGTTGAAAGATAAATTTTATTTAGTGAAAAGGGTATAGGAGTTAGAGTCAGACAGACCTGAAGTTAAATCCAGGCTCTACCACTTACTAGCTGTGTGACCTCAGGAATGTTACTTATTCTCCCCTCTCAGCCTCAATTTTCTCATCTATAAAAAATGGTCAACTTACCTTACTATTAATGTAGTGATTATCAATCGTGTGTGCAAAATACTTAGCACAGTGCCTGGCATATAGCAGGCACTCATTATAGGCTAGTTATTATTATCATAGATAGCAACATTATAGTCTTGATAAGATAAAAAAAACTTTCATGAGTCTGTATCAAGTCCTTCCCAGTTCTGAATATCCTATGCTTCACAGTTCCAAATAACGAAAAGAAAACCAAGAACTGGTTAGCATCATCACAAAGGCCAAATGATTTTTCCTAATCTCACAGTGCCAATTTTTAATACATGAGAATACAGGACTGATTCCTGACCTGTAGTCATAGCATTTTCATAATAGGAATGTAACTGAAAAAAACTGAAAGTATAACCTTGAGTGAGAAACAGGAAGAGATGCCACAAGAGTCAAGTACAACCTGAGTTACAGTTAGTGTGTGGTACAGAAAGGGGAGGAGAGAATATTCTCAGGGAATTAGTGTGGAGCCTACCTAAATTATTTCAAAGGATAATAGGAGACAGGACAAAGATAGTAAGTGAGCATCTATTTTTTTAGCACCAACTTTTAATACTACTTTCTTTTCCTTATGCCTGTAGTTCCCGTAGTTTAAATTTCTTACCTACTCAATAGAATGAGAACATCTCACCCAAAATATTGTTTATGTGGGAATATGTGTGCAAGTGTATGACAGAGAATATAGGGGCACTAGGAAGGAGAGAGAAGGATTTTCAAAACGTAAACCTTTTAAGGACTATAATAAAATTAGATTTGTCTAGTCCTATGTATAACAGTCACTGAATTACAGCAGAGGACACTAAAAAAATGGCACAGTATATTAATGCACATCAAAAAATAAATTAATATAAAGGGGGTAAGTTAGTGTTCTATATTATACATTGTGAGATATTTGAGTATAGTCTTTTTGATTGAACAGTACTTCCAAATATGTACTTAGTTCAAATTTATCCTAATAGGTGCTATTTACTGAATTATTCAATCATTAAATATAAAGACTAGAAATATGACACCTAGAAAAAACATGAGTTTTGTATATGGGGGAGTATAGAGAGAAATAATTCTCCAAATTCCCAGATAGTAAACATTTTGGGTTGTGATTTTTAACAAAATTTAATCCCATAAAAATAATTTAAAGTATAGATGCAGTTATGAAGATTTTTATATCAATATATACTTCTATAAATGAAGTATCCTGTGGTGACCAAAAAAACTTCTTCCATAGCTGTAAATAAGGAGGACTGCAATGATGAAAGTGGTAGCAAAGCAACCTTTCCCAATATTGTCAATCCACAAGTCCATCCCTGCTACAATTTGTATGTTATCACAGAGAGTTGTCCAATTATCTCTTTTACCATAATGCCTGTTATATTGTCAGAGCTACCTCTATAAATGTTAAGTGATAATTATGTAATTCGTAAGCTTAAATCTTAGATGAAATCCATTAGCCATAGGATAGAATCTAAACTCCTTATCATGATATTCTAGGATATTAATAGTCTAACCTGAGCCAACTCTTCCTGCCTCAATTCCCACTACTCCCATACATAAATCTATCTCCAGTCACACACTGGACTATTTGTTACTCCTATAACATACCACGTCAAGTCCCCTCTTTCTCTCCCTTCCACCATATTCTTATACTCTTTCTCTCTCTTTTTGAAGTAATTGCTTTGTCTTCTCTTCTCAGGGGAGACAAAGACTCTAAATTTTGTGATGTTAGGAACAGTTTCTTCCTTGCTTTGCCCCTTTGTTTTTGGAACCTAAAACAGTGCCTAGAATAAAGTAAGAATGCAAATACTTGTTCATTGATTGATATTTCTCTACCCTTAAATGGACTTCTATTTTCTGCACGCCATGTCTGGTTCTAAGTTGAGCATTTCACATGCATTAGTTTTTTTTAGTTCTCCCAGTCACCCTTTGAGGTAGGAGTTATTGTCCTCACGGTAAGCTTCTGCTGGTATTTAGGATAAAAAGAAAACAAATTTAAAACATGTTAGTCTGTTCTTAACTAAGTAAACTTTTTTTCTCTGTCTGGCAAAACAGTGAACTCTTGTCTACCATTGGGATTTTCTCACTTGATACATGTTAGGTTTTTTTACAGAGCTGTAAATAAAGCTAAGTAAACAAACAATAGCTGTTTCAAAAAAGTTTGATTTATGTGCTAAAGATTATGAGGAATTTTTAATGATATCCCACATGCTTATACATTGGATCTTGCAATTCAAGCTTTGAAAAATAACTTGATTTTAAACAAAATATTTAACCTGTTCAAGACTGTTTATAAAGGAACTAAAGAAATTTATGAACTTTTATATTTTCTCTATAAATTTTAACACTTACCTACATATTATACTATATATAATTTTACCAATAAAAATACTAATATTGATGTCATATAAAACACTGTTTTCATTTTTACAATTACCTGTTAAGAAGGTTTTCCACTTCTTGAACTTCTGATATGGACTCTTCATTATCAGAAAGGTCACGAGTTTGAAATTTTCTATTTTGGAAATCATACAGCATCACAATAACAAGACTGCTCAAATGATCTGGCTACCAAGGAGAAACACATATAAAGAAAAGTATATAAACAATGGCTAATAGCAATATTTTCTATTCTATTATCTTTCATAATGGAACAGGAATATAATTATTTTCACATACTCTGATTGGATTTGGAGATAGGGAAGGTCTTCAAAATAGAAAAAATCTATTAAAAAATACACCTTTCAAAAAAGACAATTTTTGGTATGTTCATCAAAGTGAAAAGTATTAAAAGTATTAGAAGTAGGAAAGAATTTATATTTTGAAGAGGCCTCAGTATTAAGCAAACTAGTTATTCTTTAAAATGGAAGGCTTTTTAATACTTTCCAAAAACAATAATCATAAGACAAGCTAATTCTAAAAGTTGTCTACTTACTATTGTGGTACTTGGGAAGATATAACTGTCTATTAATATAGTTTCCAAAATATCTTGATCTGCAAGACAAGAGACATGACTGTTACTAAAAATAATGTTATCTAATTATCTGTTTACAAACTCACAAACAAAAGGGACCATTACCCAAACTCCCTTTAATCTGTTCAATAACCTTTGCAGCTGTACTACTCCTATAAATATGTTAGGAAAGAAATACTAAGCTTTCTTTTCTGAATCATGATTCCCTGAACCTATACCATAAGCCAGATGTAAGCTTACAAAACGTCACATGTGAAAGTATTAACAGAACACTGATAACACAGAAGATAAAGGTAAAATGCACAAGAGCCTCCGGTATTTTAAAAGTAAAATAGCAGGCTCTTAATTACCTTGGGAAACTCACTGCTTTAGGAATCCTGATTTTATTCCATTTGCATATTCAGAAATTACTCACATGATCATTTAAACCAAGATTGTATTATAAGAAAATAATATTTTTTAACAAGTAAGCCATCAATGCTATCTTATTTTATAATTTGAATTTATAAAAATGAATGTTTCAAGGAAAAGCAGGTTTATAAAAGCCTACGACAATAATTTATTTTAATGGGATTTTCTGGGTCATTAAGAAAGATCAAACAGTCACAGATCTTTCATAAAACAGAAAATAAGATTGAGAGGAAGAAAACAATTTATTACACACATCACTATAATAACCATCTAGTTAATACATTAATTTTACATAGAATAATATTTCAGCCTTTTCTTATTGATCTCTAAAGATAAGATTCAATATTCTATTAGTAAAACAAATTGCTTGTAAGAAAATTCTTGCATTAACATTACCAATTAATCAACATAGCTGCCCAGTCTGCAATTCATTGTTGGAAATAAAAGAATGTAAAAATGTTCATTTGATTTAATGTACAAAGTGCAACACTTTGGTTGAGGGAAAGGGGAAGGAAAGGCATAACACAGAATTTGAAAGATCAAACTGGAGGGAGGAAAAATGGTTAAGACAGACTTAAAAAAAATGAGCAGAAGAAAACAACAGAAATGAAAACTAAAGAGAAATTTCATCTTCACATACAAATTTTTCTCTATGATGACAAATTCCTGGCTTCAGAGTTAAGTTTCCTCAGCTCTGCAGACAACCAAAAATATATATTCATGTCTAAATAACCAAGGGGATATTTTAATTCAACTGAGCAATTTGGAACTGTCTCCCATGTGCAAGGATGTACAATGTCCACTAAGTAACGATACTTAGCGGAAATCATGCAAATAAGTGTTACGTCTCTTTAGGATGTCATATTGCTCATCATTTTAGCCATGCTGCTAATATGAAACATTTCTGTAACTACATTCAGTCATTTTATAAACCAATATAAAGTTTATGGTCACAGCTAGTACAAAAACGACTTCAGGCCCTTTGTTCTCACAGTAAACGATTTGGTTATTCCGAGCATGAACTCCACTCTTACTGGTTGAAATTAACCACCACTGAGGGAATCTGCATCTGAGTCTCAAAGCCCGGAGGCAAATTAGAAAGGGGAATTATACCAAAGTTTGGCTCCCAGAACTAAAACTACTGGCTATAAATGGGATCATCTGAATTGGGGTTGATTTAATTTTAATATTTATTTTTAAAATATTGCACCTTTTATTTTTATCTCATCTCTGTCTGTTCCCTTCCCAACCCTCCCTTACTGGTTTTATATTTGTGTAAGCTCCTAAACTAAAATACAAAGTGTAAACACAGGGAAAGAAAAGAAATACAGGGCTAGGCGCGGTGGCTCAGGCACCTAGCCACCTAGCTAGGTGGTAATCCCAGCACTCTGGGAGACCGAGGCGGGCGGATCGCTCAAGGTCAGGGACCAGCCTGAGCAAGAGCGAGACCCCGTCTCTATTAAACATAGAAAGAAATTAATTGTCCAACTAAAAAACATATAGAAAAAATTAGCCGGGCGTGGTGGCGCATGCCTGTAGTCCCAGCTACTCGGGAGGCTGAGGCAGGAGGATCGCTTGAGCCCAGGATCTGTGAGGTTCTGTGAGCGAGGCTGACGCCACTGCACTCACTCTAGCTAGGGCGACAGAGTGAGACTCTGTCTCCAAAGAAAGAAAAGAAAAAAGAAAAGGAATACACAGGCAGAGGGAAATGGTAACTGGGTGGTGAATGGACTCTTTCCCCCTACTAATGGAATCGGTGCCCTGTGCGATTTAACTACTGTGCACTACAGCTATCCAAGGACCAGGCACGGCTGGGCGCCCGGAGCCCTGCGGAGCAGCAGCCCTGGCCTTCTCAGAGCGGGCTCCGCCTTGCCATTCGCGAACCACCAGAGGCGGGCGGTGAGGGAAGGGCGCGGTGCGCGTGCGGAGGCGCGGAGTGCCGGGTGCGGGAGGTGGCGGTGCTAGCGAGTGCGCGGGTGTGGGAGTGCGCGGTGCGGGGAGGTGCGCGGTGCGGGGAGGTGCGCGGTGGGGGAGGTGCGCGGTGCGCGGGGAGTGCGCGGGTGCGGGAGGTGCGCGGGTGCGGGGAGGTGCGCGGTGCGCGGGTGTAGTGAAGTGCGCGGGTGCGGGGAAGTGCGCGGTGGGGAGGTGCGCGGTGCGGGGAGGTGCGCGGGTGCGGGGAGGTGCGCGTGCGGGGAGGTGCGCGGGTGCGGGGAGGTGCGCGGTGTGGGGGCGCGGTGTAGCGAGTGGCGGTGGGGAGGTGCGCGGTGTAGTGAGGCGCGCGGTGCGGCGGAGGTGTGGGTGTAGCGAGGTGCGCGGTGCGGGAGGTGCGCGGGTGTAGTGAGGTGCGCGGGTGCGGGGAAGTGCGCCGGTCGGGGAGGTGCGGCGGGTGGCGGAGTGCGGGAGGCGCACCGCACACTGCAGCTGCGGTCGCTGGCGCTCCCGGCGGGCGCACTCACATTTCAGCGCGCTGAAAGCCAGCTCGTACGACAAACGCCGGAAGGACTCGTCCTCAGACTCGGGGAAGGACAGCACAGGCTCGTCCCCGTACTTTATTAAGACCTTCTCCGGCGACTTTTCGATGCGAATGCCCTGGAAAATGTTGGCTGCCATCACGTAAACCGAGTCCGGGTAGCCGGCCTTCTCGGGCGCGCCGGCCGGGCCCCTCTCGTCGGGCGCCGCGTCGCCGGGCAGCGCCAAGGCGGCGGGCGGGGCGGCCCCGGCGTCGTTCCGGCCCGGGAAGTCCAGCTCACCCGCGGAGTTCAGCATGTCCGCGCTGCCCGTCGCCGGCATCCCCGGCCCGAGCTACAGTCCGGGCGCTCCCGGGGCCGGGCTCCCCGCCGCCGCCCGCATGGTCCGAGGGGGGAAGCCCGCCCCGCAAGTCGCCGCCCCGCGGCGCCGCTCGGCGGCCCTGGCTGAGCCCTCGGAGACCAAGACGGCATTCACCGGCCGACCCCGCGCCCGAACTTCCAGCCGGACAAGCCCGGCGACACTTCCACGCCCTCAGGAAGGGGCGAGTGGAGAGAGGCCGGAGGGCCGCCGCGGCCGTGCGGGGCAGACTCCGCCGTGGCCCCGCCGCAGCCTGCGGCCGCTGAGCCTCCCGCACCCCGCGGACGGGCGGCTCCTGGGGCTTCAGGGACCCGGACGCGGCGGCGCTGCCTCGGGGCGCCGGAGGCTGGCGTGGGTAACAGGCCCGGGAGCCGGGGACGGCGGGGCGGCGGCGGCCCGCGGAGGCCGTTTGGTTCAGGTGCAGCCACGTCCACCGCGGGGTTCGGGGCAGGGGGCGCGGCCTCTGGCGCTCGGCTCGCTCCGGTTCCTTGAGGAGGGCGCGCCTCAGGCCTCGCGCGGGAGCCTCTGGGAACTCGGCGGCAGAGAGGGGTGGGCGCGGGGCGCGGAACTGGCGGGCTCAGGCCGCGGCGGGGCCAGCCTCCCGGGTCTCCCAGCGTCGGCCGGCCCCGGGTCTCCATGGCAACCGGGAGCTGGGGGCGGGAGGTGCGCTGCGCGCAGCAGGTTCCCGCGGGATTTGGCTGGCGCTGCTCTCTCCGCGAGAGTTGCTCTTCTCCCGAGGCCTGGACGCCGGTTTCCGCCCCCCTCACGCGGTGTGCCCGCCGGGACGCCCGTTTCCGCCCTCCTCGCGCGGTGTGCCCGCCGGGACGCGGTTCCCCCCTGAAGCCAGGTACCCTCGCGCGGTGTGCCCGCCGGGACGCGGTTCCCCCCTGAAGCCAGGGACCCTCGCGCGGTGTGCCCGCCGGGACGCGGTTCCCCCCTGAAGCCAGGGACCCTCGCGCGGTGTGCCCGCCGGGACGCCGGTTTCCGCCCCCCTCGCGCGGTGTGCCCGCACCGGGCCTGAGGGCTGGCACTTGGCTTTGTTCGTAAATGCTGTTTTTAGGTAGTCTGCCCTACAGTTAAGTGGTTTCAACTCTCAAGCACCTAAAGTGCTTGTTGAAATGCGAATTCCTGGAACCCATCCCTAGAGATCTGAGTCTGTAACTCTAGGTGGGGCCTAAGGATTCGTATTTTACCAGGTAACTCAGGTGATTCTGGTGCAAGCAGGCCCAAGCACACAGCTTGGAAAGCTCTGGTACAGTGGAAAGGCTACTAGTTCTAATTCCTCCTGTCTCTAACATAGAAAAGTATTTTAATTTATCAGGATTTCTGTTCCCTCTCCCATAAAACAGATTAGTCATCCCTGCTTATTTTGCACGTGAATTGTGAAGTTAGAACCGTCCCTCCGTCCTCCCACACACCTACCGCGTCCGCGAGGTGAAATCCAAACTTTCGGCAGCGCAGGGTCTGGGGACGCGGCCCGCCCGCCCGCCTTTCCGGCCTGGCCGCTTGGCGTCTCAGCCAGTCCCCAGACTTCGTTCCCTTATGCACGTTGTTTCCTCGGTCTTGGAAGCCCTTCCCTCTTTGTCCACACGCTGAGCTCCTAACTCAGTCTTTGAAACCCAGTGCAAGCATCACCTCTATAAAAGCCTTTCCCGATGCTGTATTTGTTAGGACGTAAACTTAGCCCCTGCAACAGAGACCCAAAATAACCGCTGGGTTATTATAAACAAAACAGAAGTTTATGTCTCACATAAAGTCCTGTTGCTGTAGTGGCTCTCCTCCAAACGTTGTTAGGGACCCAGACTCCTCCTTTGGGCTGCATCAAAGGGATTTGCCCTTTCCACTTAGTCTAGGATGGCTCGTCGCCATGTCCATTCCTGGCCAGGGGTTAGTGCGATAAAGGGGAAAGAGAGGGCATGCACATACCTTTCGATGACCCGAAAGGTGCATGCATCACTTTTGTTCACATTCCATTGGCCAGAACTTAGTCACGTGGAATACCAAGCAGTAAAGGAGGTTGATAAATGTGTCCAGCTAAAAATCAAGGGAACTGTTACTATAGAAGAAGGGGAGAATGGATAATGGGGGACCATTAGCAGTCTCTGCTGCAGATCTCTACCCCTTGGCCCCTTCTCCCACCAGTGCCCCCACTTCCATTATCCCTAGAATGTCAAACATTCCCTCTTCTGTGTTCCCATAGCATTATTTTGTTCATACATTCATTCATTAATAAGTATATATTATATATATTCATAATTTAATAAGTATATATTAAATTCCCATTGTGTGCGTAGCATTGTGTTCAGCCCTAGAATAAAAAATGAATGGATAGAAATTATCAGAGAGTTTTCCCTCAAGAAATTAATGGATGAATAAACTTGTATTGTGGTACCCTTTAATTTTTATTATAAATGTTTGAGTACATAACTATATTACATGTCCTGCCATCTTTCTGCCCACACAACACACACATTCTAAAATAGTTTTGTTATATTTTTATCTTTTAATTTTTATGACATGTCTTTCTATTCCCAGATGCTAGCAATATATCACTGTCTTTGACACACGGACATTCACAGAAGGTTACAAATATGGAAAGTGTATTAGAGGTCATGATGTATTTTATCATCCATCACATAATAAATACACAGTACAATCTGAAATTGTGAGGTGATAGGTAGCTATAAACCTGAGAATATTATTGTTTTTCAAAGTATAATTTTAGGAACTTGGTTTTTTTTTTTTTAATAGTTCAATGAAAGTGACACTTCACTATATTAAAAACAAGATTTCATGAGAGAGTCTATCCCCAAAGTGGAGCTTCGACAAACAGTTGGGGGTTAGCAAATTCATGGTTACTGTTTATTTTAATCGTGTGTATAATCCTACCTCCTCACTTCCCACTCCTGGTTTATAGCCTCATTGTGGACTTAATGTGTTGGAGGGGAGGGTCAGAGGAAAGCATATTAAGTTTCAGTGAACACTGTAAAAAAGTAACCATAGAGATAGGTGTATGGATTCAACTGTTGTGAAAGCAAGGTAGTAAATAAATGTAGTCTTTAAATTACACTGTGTAATGTGATTGGAACATTAGATCAGAGATGGGTAAAAAATTAGAAGTTAGGTACCTGGTACATTCTGCCAAAGGAACCAATGATTTTTCTTTCCCCAGGGGTTAGAATATTTAAAATATTTGTAAACTAACATTCCTCAATTTATTTTTAAAGTCAAATTAACATTTGACTCAGAGTACTAGTATGTGTTAGCCATGTAGGTATTTGAAATACATTTGCACACTTGCTTAAATTTGATCTGGGCATATAAAACTGTGCCCAGTTTCATCGAAGCCTATTATATTAATAGAAATGTAAAAAGTGTAAGAACTATAAACAATTTTGACTAATGTTCTTACACATCAGAACTCAGTATCTAGTTATTGCTTCTTAGAAACAGTGTGGTGGATTTTCTTTGCAACACTTTGTTTCTTTATTCTTTATTTTGTTTTATAAAGTTATCTGGTATTCTATTGTAGACTTAAGCTGTACCCAAATTGGAACTCTGGGGCATTAGGGCAGGTCATCAGGAACTGTGTGTGTCAGAGGATAACCAGGGCCTCATGAGTAAGGTACATTTTGGGGCTGATGGGCAGATACAGAAATACCCCATCCCTGGAGGCTGAAAGAGTATAGATGCCCAGGAAGACACTGTGTGGAGGGAGGAGTATAGGACTTGCTGGTGGGTTGGTGGGAAGTAAAGGAACAAGAGAAATCAGAGAGACCTTTTAAGATGTTTATGCCTCAGCTGTTAAGGGAGGGAGGGAGTTTCCACTGACTGAGAAGATAAAGACTGGGAAGAAGTGCGTTCCTGAGGCCGGGCACAGTGGCTCACGCCTGTAATCCTAGCGCTGTGACAGGCCGAGGCGGGAGGATTGCTTGAGCTCAGGAGTTTGAGACCAGCCTGAGCAAGAGTGAGACCCTGTCTCTGCTATAAATAGAAAAAATTAGCTAAACGACTAAAAATAGAAAACATTAGTCAGGCACGGTGGCACGTGCCTGTAGTCCCAGGTACCTGGGAGGCTGAGGCAGGAGGATCACTTGAGCCCAGGAGTTTGAGGTTACTGTGAGCTAGGCTGACACCACAGTACTCTAGCCCAAGCAAGAGAGTGAGACTCTCAGAAGAAAAACAAAAAACAGTGGGTTTCTGGGAGGGCCAGGAGATTTGTTATTTTGGAGGTGTTTTCATAGCATGTAAGCAGTAAGCAGTAGAGTAAGAAACCTTAAATGTTTCCCTACTTCCCACCTCCAGGCTGCTGGTTACTGCGGAGCTGGCCGAGGCTCAGGGAAGGTAAGGGTTCCAAAGTCACACAGATGATGAAAGGGGACAGGCTCTGACCCAGGCTTCATTCCCTAACAGAGATGTCCCAAATGCCTACCTTGTGCCACGAACTAAGCCACAGGCCTGGGAGTATAATGATTCAATGTCTTTTCCCCACTTTATTTTTTGAAAATGTTAATGCATAGAGAAAAGCTGAAAGAATAGTATAATTAACACTCTTCCACCTAGATTTAACAAGTCCACAATTACTATCCACGTTTGTTTCATTTCTGTATATGTGTGTGTACATGTATCTTCTTTTGGCTGAAACATTTGAAGGGAAACAGCAAATATCATATTTTAGTCCTTAAATGCTTAGACTAAATCTCCTAATAAGGACATCCTCCTGCTGAATAACTTACCATTATCACAGATAGGGTAATTAACAATTCCACTATCATAATATTCATTCTATTTTTAATTCTCTCTAATAGCTTTTATAGTTTTTGTATTGCAAACCTCGAACCAATTAGGGTTAGTGTGTTGCACTTGGTTGTTGTGTCTCTGTACTCTCTTGGAAGCCAGAACAATTCTCCTGCTCTTTTTTCCAAAAGACATCCACTTGTTGAGGAGTCCAGGGAAGTTGCCTTGTAGACCGTGCCACATTCCAGGTGTGACTCATTGTTTCCTCATCGTTTCCCTGCTTCCTGGTGTGCTCTAACCTCTCTATTCTGTTTCCTTAGTCACTTCAGGCTGCTATAATGGAATAGTATAAACTGGGTGACTTAATCACCAGACATTTATTTCTCACAGTTCTAGAGCTTGAGAAGTCTCAGACCAAGGTGCTAGGTGATTAGGTTCCTGGTGAGGCTGTTTCCTGGTTTCCAGACAGCTACCTTCTCACTGTATCTTTGCATGGTGGAGAGAGAGCAATCTCTCCCATGTCTTTTCTTATAAAGGCACTAGTCCCACTTACGAGCATTTACCCTAATTACTTCCCAAAGACCTATCTCCAAACACCATTATTTGGGGGATTAGGGCTTCAAACTATGAATTTTGAGGGAATTCAGTCAGTCCATAGCACCTGTAAATGGAAAACTGGTTGTATAGGCTTGATTCGGGTTCAGCATATTAGCAAAGAAAATACATAGATGAGGCCGGGTGCAGTGGCTCACACCTGTAATCCTAGCACTCTGGGAGGCTGAGGCAGGCAGATCACTCAAGGTCAGGAGTTCCAGACCAGCCTGAGTAAGAGTGAGACCCCATCTCTACTAAAAATAGAAAGAAATTAATTGACCAACTAAAAATATATAGAAAAAATTAGCCGGGCATGGTGGCACGTGCCTATAGTCCCAGCTACTTGGGAGGCTAAGGCAAGAAGATCGCTTGAGCCCAGGAGTTGGAGGTTGCTGTGAGCTAGGCTGACATCATGGCACTCTAGCCTGGGCAACAGAGTGAGACTCTGTCTCAAAAAAAAAAAAAAAAAAAAAAAATATATATATATATATATATATATATATAAACCTAGATTCAGATGGGCTAATCTGATAGAGCTAAAGGCTTTGAATCATTATTGTCCTCCAAGCTTAGGGGCAGGGGACTAAAGAAGATGCCAGTGAGTGCTCTCAGCATGCCAGGGCAGTGCAACCCAAACCTGGGTGATGTGCGAGGTCTAGGATGGGTGTCCACGTCTCACTGTGTCTGAGCTCTGGGGAGGCAGGCCTTGCCAAAGGAAGCTTACCTCGCCCACTGCTTTTGTTCACAGCTCAATGGAGTTCGAGGCAGCCCTGGTGGACCTCCGGCTGCCCTGGTGGACCTCCAGCTGCCCTGGTGGACCTCCAGCTGCCCAGGTGGACCTTCAGCTGCCCAGGTGGACCTCCAGCTGCCCAGGTGGACCTCCAGCTGCCCTGGTGAACCTCCAGCTGCCCAGGTGCACCTCCAGCTGCCCAGGTGCACCTCCAGCTGCCCAGGTGGACCTCCAGCTGCCCAAGTGGACCTCCGCTGCTCAGGTGGACCTCCAGTAGTCCAGCTGTCCCATCTTCCTGGAGCACTTGAAAGACCCAGTGCCCATCAGCCGTGGGCACAACTTCTGTCACTCCTGCCTCAGTGTGTCCTGGCAGGATCTAGATGATGCCTTTCCCTGTCCTGTCTGCCATTTTAGCTTTCCATACGGGAACTTCAGGAGGAACCCTCAGCTTCATGATTTGACTGAAATAGCTAAGCTGCTGTAGGTCAGAAGGAGCAAGAGGAAGAGGCAGAATGAGCATGCCGTGTGTGAAAAGCACAATCCGTTTCTGACCGTTTTCTGTCTGAAGGACCTGGAGATCTTATGTACATAGTGCAGTTTCTCCACCGAACACCGGAAGCACTACATTAGCCCCATGGACGAAGCTGCCTCTTACCACCGAGAAACTCTACAATGCAGCGTTGAGCCCTTGAAGAAGAATATAGAACGAGTTGAAAAAGTGCTAGCTCTGCAAGGCAGCAAGGCAGCGGAGCTTAAAAAGCAGGTAGAATATAGGAGAGAAGAAATCAATTCTGAATTTGAGGAAATTAGACTGTTTTTACAGAATGAGCAGGAGACTGTTCTTAGGTACAAGATGAAGAGATGGACATTTTAACAAAACTAAATGAAAACCTTTTCACATGATGTTTCCACAGTAAAGCATCTTCTGAAGGAGACAAAGGGCATGTGTGCAGTCAGACACGGAATTACTGGCCTGTGTTAAGAGTATCCATCTGAGTGGATACTCTTAAGAGTATCAAAACCTGAAATACCCTGAAACCTTTTCATTTAGTTTAACAAACTATGGTTTCAGACTTCCTCCCCAGCATTCTGGCCTGGACAGAACTATCAAGCCATTTCAAGTAGATGTGATTCTAGATGTCGACACAGCACATCCTCAACTCATTGTCTCTGAGGATAGAAAAGCTGTGCGGTATGGAAGAACAAAACAAAAAGGTGGTTGTAACGCCAGGAGATTCGCTCTTTGCCCTGCTGTCCTGGGGTCTGGGGGGTTTGGTTCTGGCAGACACTGCTGGGAGGCAGAAGTGGGGAGGAAGCCCAAGTCGATCCTGGGCGTGTGTCACAAGGGTGTCGCCAGGAGCTGGCAGGACCAGCCGCCGGTTCTGGCTGGGTTCTGGGCAGTTGGGCTGTGCGTGTGTGGTGGCTACGTCGCGTCCGGCCTTGGGAGAGTCCACCTGCTGCCCACAGTAAGGCCCAGTAAGATGGGCGTTTTTCTGGACTGTGAGTTGGGCAAGGTCTCCTTTTATATGAATGATCGGTCTGTTCTCTGTGCTTTTAATGATTCTTTCAGAGAAGCTGTTTGGCCTTATTTCTATACTGGAACAGATTCAGAACCTCTTAAAATCTGCTCATTATCAGATTCCAAAAGATAAAGAACTTGGTAAATGAACCTGTTTCAGTTTTTATGGGCAACTTTGCCAGTAATTTAAGTTTTACCACTGAAATCCAGAATCGATTTTTCTCCTTCATTGTTAGCAACTGTAAAGCATGCTCACAATACCCCTTTCATAGATATGAATGTCACTTGTCAAGTGATTTGCATTTTAAGAAAAAATATTTTAATATAAAATATTTGTTGAGAATTATATTACTTAACATGTCCGATGAAATTTTGAAATGGCCAATAAATTGTTTCTTTTATTTAGGTCAGTCTCCTAGAGCTGCATAAATTGTTATTTGAACGGCGTGCTTGCCATGTGCTTACCTTTCTTTGTAGTGGATTCTTCTGTTTACCTCCATATTTCTCATTATCAAATTTTCTGTTATTTATTGCATCATTTGACACAGTTGACTTGCTTTTGTGGATAATGAGGATTTCGCTTTGTTTAAATCTTTTCCCTATATACACTTACAAATGCATAATCCATAGGTAATGTCTAACATTTTTCTTTTTTCCTTTGTGCCTGTCATTCTGTACATCACAGCATCTGGGCCTGAATAGCAGCCAGCCTTCCAGTGAGCACCTTTCTGGGAATTGACCTCTACTTTCTTGTGACCTGCAGCAAACATTTCCTCCTATTTCACTGGTCCACATTTGCTCCCTTGCTCATCCCTGAAACAACATGTTTGACAGAGTATGAGGCTTCCCTGGACTCGCCAAGTAAGACTTGAATGCTATACAGGCCCCACCACTACAGAGAGGAGTAGAGTTAACCTCCCCACAAATTAGGGTGACTAATTTGTTATCCAAACCAAGTTACTTTTGACAGCAACAGAGAATGCTATTAATAATTATGCCAGGACAATAAAATGCAAATCAGTACTCCCCAAAATATGTGGCTTCCAGGGGAAGGTGTGGATAGCTGAGTGAAAGTTGGTAGTTAGTAAGAGAAGGTGTAATAGATGTTGGGGAGACGACCACAACGATCATTTTAAAAAAATATTTTTAACCACGCGCCTGCGAGGAAAACAGTTCATGAGGTACGAATTACCAAATATATTGTCTCTGAGGGAAACTCAGCAGAGGACTAAGCCTGCTCCTGAAGCCAGCTTGTTTTCAAAGTATTCTTTCCAAGGTAACAACTAAGAATCAATGCCATGAACTTAAGCCTCCCCAGGCGTCCTGGGCCTTCCCATCCCTCACCACCAAGGCTTCTTAGAGACCTCAGAGCAGAAATGACAAAAAACAACATATTCCCCTTTCTCAGAAGTAAACTCCAGACTTTGAGATGCTTTTTACTGTAATCCAAAGATAACAGCCCCCGCAAACCTTGAACAAAGAGACTGTGTTATCTCGCTGAACCTAGACTGCTAGGGTGCAGACTAAGCTGTAAGACTAACTGGGCGACTCACTGCAGATAAGTCGCTAGTAGCTCATCTAAGTCCTCATCTATGAAAGGAAGATAATATTTTGGACCTACTTATCAAACTTGGTGGTGTTGAGAGTCAAATTAAGAAAATAGATGTGAAAATCTTTTGAAACATTAAGAGCACCATGCCAGTGTGGAGCTTTATTACTAAGAACTTTCAGCGAGGTCAGGCGTTTTTATGTGCAAGGCAGTTTTCACGGGATGAAGATTCACCCTGTTGTAATTGGATATGTAAATGCTCCCCGAGGTCTCTCTCGGTCGGCTATTCAGATAATTCCAAACTGATGATGATGATGATGATGATGATATCCCTCTAACTGTGAACAAGAAACAGGAAGCAAAAATAGATGATCTCATACCTTGATCCACGCAAGGAGACTTAGTGCATTTATTTATGTTTTAAGAGTTTCAGTGATGATATAACCGGAGCCGTAACTTTTCCTATCAAAGTGAGTCTGTTTGCTCACATTAACATACTAGCTTTTATTTCTGCTGTTTTTCTCTCTTATTCTGTGAACATCTAGTAACAGCTGAGTTGCAATAAGTTTGACTTTGGTGCCTCTAGAGTGATCCAATCTTAAAATGATTGTGGAGTTTGAAAAGACAGGGAAAAGCTTGCCACGGGCTCTCACGGGGGTCCTCCAGCAGACAGGCCACCCTAACCTGCTGTCCTTTCCAGGAGGTTGCGAGTTGAGAAGTGTTCCCCGGTGGGCACAAAACAAAGGAAGTGGGAAGCAGACAGTGAGAGCCGCCCCTGTGTCCCTTCACGTCCTGTTCAGAGCCAGGAAGTGCACGGCACGCGCCAGGGCCTCCGGGACGAGAAACGTCTGTCTCCTCGAGCTGCCCGGTCCCGCCTCCTCAGCACCTGCCTGAGGCTTCTCTCTCCAACACACATCAGCAGGAACCTGAATCAATATGTGTCAGATGTGGCAGTGGAATATAAAATTTAACCTGCAATGAAGTGAGGCCAAAGCTTTTTACAAAGTGTAAAGATATGTACTGCCTTAGCTTGCGTATGGTGCTCTCAGTCAGGGAAAGACTTGCTATAAAGAGGAGATCCCAGACCGGCTCAGTGGCTCACATATGTGCTCACAGCACTCTGGGAGGCCAAGGCAGGAAGATCGCTTGAGGTCAGGAGTTTGAGACCAGCCTGAGCAAGAACGAGACCCCGTCTCTACAACTACCCCCACCCCTGCAAAAAAAGAAAAAGAAAAATTAGTCAGGCACAGTGGCACACGCCTGTAGCTCCAGCTACTCCAAAGGCTGAGGCAGGAGCATTGCTTGAGCCCAGGAGTTTGAGGTTGCTGTGAGCTATGATGATACCACTACACTCTAGCCATGAAGACAGAGTGAGGCCCTGTCTCAAAATAATAATAATAAACAGAATAAAATAATATAAATAGAGCCCACTCAAATAAGTAAAGGAAAAGAAGTATAAAAATGACATTACTTTCATAAATACCTAACGACAGAACAAAGCTCATGCACATCTATACCCGGATGATCTAGCATGGCTCAGACATTATCTTTCTGTGCTCTCCCCTCCATTGGAAAAAATACAACTAACCGTATACTCTGATTTTTTAAAATTTCTTTTTAAAAAAGGAAGGCAATGCTATCATTCATAACTATACTTAAAAATCCTCTTATAATCTAAGCATATTAAAAGATTTAAAAGATTTGAATTGAATTGGAAAGTTATTTATATGGTGCTACTTTACATAACTACCAAAAATAACCCCAGTTGTTTTTCTTTTCGATATAAATGTGAGGATTCCATAAGTGGCTACCTACATCAGATAAAGAT